ATATCGTCCACTGGGAGTTGCAGGAGTGGTATTCCCTTTTTGAGGGTGTTCCAAGCCCCTGATCTGACAATTCTCCCAGTACTAATTCCGTTAGTGACCATTCTAATCATTGTCGCATTGGCATATCTACCAATGACAATGTGCAGTGGTGTTAGATCTAGAATGACCTCCATTGCTGCTGTTGGACAGGTTCTCATGGCTCCTGTGATGCAAACACATGCTAGTCTCTGGACTTTGCATAGGTTTAGCCTTGCTGTCCGTTGCTCTAGTTTTGTGTGTACCAGGCAACTGCTCCATAAGTAATCATGGGTCTTACTTATCATGGTATACATCCAGCGCAAAATGTTAGGGAGCAGCCCCATCTATTTCCGGCCAGTCTTCTGCATATCATGAGAGCCTTTATGGCTTTAATGGTAGTGTTCTTAATATGCCTGTTCCACAGGAGTTTACTGTCCAGGGTTATTCCCAGGTATTTAACTTCCTGTGTTGGCAGTATTTCCTTTCCATCTAGTTGGATTCTTTCCAGTTTTTCAGACTTCGCCTTCTGGTGAATGGCACTATCGCGATTTTGTCTGAGTTGATACTCAGCCCGACAGTCCTACACCATCTCTCAGTGATATGGGTCCTCTTTTGGATAATATCACACAAGGTGCCTTCATGTTTCCCCGAGCGATCATGACTATGTCATCTGCATACCCAATGCAGTGTATTCCCGCTAGAGTTAATTCATCTAGTAGTTCATCCACCACCAAGCTCCACAGCAAAGGTTAGGTTACTCCACCTTGTGGAGTTCCTTTGCGTTGTTTTAACAGCTACAGTTTTGGTGCCCATCTGAGCTCTGCTGTTCGTGTTGACAGCATTTCCCAAAACCAGCGAATAATAGTTCTGTTCACCCCTCTTGTTTCTAGAGATCGCCTGACCACCTTATGTGGTATATTGTCAAACGCCCCCGCAATATCCAAGAAGGCACAAATTGCTGTTTCTTTGCTATCCAGACTTGTCTGTATTAGCTCCGTTAATTGGTACAGAGCAGTTTCTGTGGATCTGCTCGTTCTATATGCATGCTGACTATCATGCAGTGGTTTAACCTTTAGATGATTTTCTCCAATATGGTTGCCAACTACTTTCTCCAGCGTTTTTAGTACACGAACGATGTGAGACTAACTAGGCCTAAATGACTTGGGTTGTCCAGTCAGTTTTGCTGGCCTATTTTGGGTATGAAGATTACTTTTGCTCTTCTCCATGTGGTTGGTATATATCCCATCGCTAGACTGCTTCTTGTAATGCTTAGTAGATGGTGAGTAGCTATTTGCTGACCCTCCTTTAGAAGGGCAGGAAAGATCCCATCCACTCCTGCTGCTTTATAGGGCTGAAAGGTGTCGATCGCCCATTTCAGCTTTTGTTCTGTTATTACTAGCTTGGCCACTTCCCAATCTTCCCTGCAAGAATTGTGGGGTTCAGTGGGAGCTACATAAGTATCAATAGGTATCATAGGTCATAAACGAATAAAAATATTAAAGTTGTATTTCATTACAAGGAACACAAAAAAAGATATAGAGGATATCTTTTTAGTTTCTACGATTAAAATGAAGGTAAATTTTATTAAGGTTGCCCTCTAACGGACAAACGAAGCACTTTTGTATAAATGGAAATTATGTGCAATTAACTTATTTGGATCCAAAAAATACGTAGTTGTTCTATGTCCACGAAATATTAGAACTCCCTGTATATTTTGGAAGTCTACTTTGAAAAAATAAATTCTCCAAAAATTTTTTCTCAAAAACTATGCGTTGTAGCGTTTTTGTACAAGTGACAAAAAATTTAGTAAATACCAGAAGGATCATTTTACGAGAAGAAAATCTGTCGTCGGTGGAGTTGGAAAATATTTATATTAAAATTTATGTAAGGGTGGGGGTAGTTTTTACCCTTCACGTACTTTTTCTTAATTTTTCTGAAAGCCAAATGTTAAAGCAAAACATAGACATCCAAAATCTCATTCAAATCGAAACAACGGTTCTCAAAATATCTGAAAAAATGTGTTTATTTTTTTAAAGGTTGGTGCCCTCTAGCGGACAAACGAAGCACTTTTGTATAAAGGTAAATTGTGTCCAATGAACTTATTTTGATTCCAAAAATACGTAAACATTTAATGTATTTCATTTGAAATACTTAAAATAGTCATATTTCAAAAACCGTTCCGTATTGATTATAATTTTATTGTGTTTTGAAGATAATGTTATATTGATTAAAAAAACTATAAAATCTATGGAAATATAAGTTTAAATTACCCTGTATATTGACAAAAATATTGTGTGAAACTATTGTCACCTTGCCCGCAATATTTAGAGATAGGAATCTTTAACAAAAACCTGATATAGAGATTTTTTGAATAGGAGTTTGAAACAGTAAAGTTTTTTGAAAAAGGGATTATAAATAGCAAATTTTGAGAACAAATATACAAATAAATATTGCTGAAAGAATAATGACATATAATTTACTTACAGTATTTTATTAGTTCCTAACTTAATATGCCTAGTTTTGCTAACCACTCGATCCTGAGGTGTACACATCAAAGTAATAATTTTATCTTCCGGTAGTCTCACTCCTCTCACAGTAGGCACCCTTAAAGTTGCACACATGTTAAAATGACTTCCATCATTTTCATTTCTTCCTCCATCGTTTAAATTATCTTTCGAACATCGTTTTACACCACATCGAAGCATCGCTTCGAAATTGTTCAGATTTATTCTAAACACGTTTTTTCTTCTGGTTTCTACGCACTCTTCAGTCGATTCTTCTATAATAGGATAACATGGAATAAGTCCATCCATTTTAAAATCCACACGAAAACTGGACCCTTGTATACAGGACATGCTCTGAATTTGAAAAGCAGGTTGGCCGTAATCAGGTTTTGGAGAATTGCTTGGGGATGGAAAGGCTGGAATTACCACTGAATCATCGTCATGAAGTGTGGGTGGTAATAAAGGTGGAAATATTTCATTACTAGGAGGTGGAAGGTAGCTTGTTGTAGGTTTAGGAGGTAGATAATCTTGTGAAGGGGGATCGGAAGTTATTACTTGAGGTGGTACATCGGAAAATACTGGAGGAACGTAAATAGGAGGTGAAGTACTTGGTTCGTCAAAATGGAATGGAGGGTTGGGAGACTCAGGGTAGAAATATCCTGGAAATTGTCCTGAATCAATTTGAACGAATGTGAAAGTCGTTAGGAAAAGAACAGAGAAACTAATAGTAAAGGCCGACATGTCTTTTACCACCTTTTACCTAAAAGTACCTGACTGTTTCCCAAAAAAATTCAATGGTCTATATAAGTGACTTAAAATGTCGTGTTAGAAATCTATGTCCAACCTGAAATACGTGATTCGTGTAGATTCGGTTTAACTTATACAAGGGTTTTGTGAAAAATTACAAAGGATAGTACAATTCTAATCTCCTATGCCGCAACCTATCAAAAACTAAAGTTTTGTCATATAAAAGTACTATACTACCTTTTGTACTTAATAACACCACTATTGACGTCGTGGACTCTGTAAAATTCTTAGGACTTGTTGTAGACAACTCGTTAAATTGGGACTTGCATATCGAAGCTTTATCAAAGAAACTATAAGCGCTGCCTGTTTTGCGCTAAGATCAGTTTCTAAGGAACTTAACTTATCAACCTCTAGAATAGCCTATTATGCCCTTTTTGAGTCACATCTTCGTTATGTCCTTCCATTCTGGGGTACTTGCTGCGCAACAAAATTTGATCGTATTTTCAAACTTCAAAACAGAGCAGTTCGATATTTATTGGGACTGAACAGTAGAACTTACTGCCAGAATTTCTTTAAAAATTTCAAAATACTGACTCTTCCTTCTTTACTCATTTTTGAATCCGTTTGCTTAATCCGCAAGCACATCTCTGCTATTCCCGAAAGGCCATCTCACAACTATCCACTTAGGAATGCCGAGCACGATCTTAATCTTCCAACCCCGAGCTCAGAACTATTTAAAGGCTCAATACAATGCCAAAAAACGTACAATTATCTGCCTTTGAATATCAAGTTGCTTTCATTCTTTTCCGCATTTCGCAAAGTTCTACGCCGCCTACCGAAATTTCTTCTTTACGATGTGCTTGTTCCTTCTTTACGGACAACTCAAAAGGTGCAAGGATATTTTCCACAAAAAATTAAAGGGGATTAAGCATGCAGAATCAGGAGGGAAGGAAGCAGCCCACAATAGAACACAATAGAGAAGAATTGTAAACTCGTGGTTACAACGAGTTAAGTTAACAACGACAAGCAAAAAGTAAAGAGGCAACAAAGTAATGAGATTTTTGAATGTTCAGAGTAAGGAAGAGAGAGTCACAGAAGAGAGTTTCAGTCACAGAAAAGTTCATGAAAGAAAACGCCTTGCGTAACTATCTTCTGATGCGTGTCAAATACCCGTCAGCGAAAAACGGCTTCTTTAAATTTACGCTTTTCCCAATGAGGTACCCAGTGGATAACCCGGGCTTCCAACTATTTTATGTTGTGGTGCTTGGAACCACACATGGTTTGCATGTCTGCAATATGAGACTGGATTGTGTCACTCCTTTGCGTAATTTTTTTTTCCAAAAATTGATTACACTAAAAGGTTGAAGACTTGAGAATTATATGGTATTAAAATATATATTTTGTAAAATTTGCTTTGAACAGTAACAGAACTAAAAATATAAATATTACCATAAAAGTTGGTTATTATAATATTTCACCAAAATTTTTGTAATAGTATGTAATTAAAAACATATAATTTTAAAACCAATATTTCTAGACAATCTTAAAACCCCGGTATATTGACTTTGCACCCACAACTTTAGTTTACTTCTATTCATAAATAGCATGTCAGACAAGTGAAATTATATTGTTTTCATTGTGGAATTAATGAGGTTATTCGAACATTTCCTATTAACGGTTTTGAAAAAAGTGTGGATTGCATAAAATAGAAAAAAATGTTTTATTATTTAGCACAAGAAAAGGATAACTTGAAGACAAAATAACCATCCTTATGGAATCCTCAAATTCTAAAGTGGTGGAGCTGCCTCGGAAACTATCTCATGGAGTTTCTAGGACTCGAAGGAAGTTGAGCATTCCGGTACTTTCGACACAAGGAGCACCACGTAAGGTTTGAAACATAGAGTAAGATTTAAATGTATAAGGGTGATATATAAAAATATACCTAGTGACAACAAAATGTTGCACAGGATACCGTTTGTTTAATTTTTGAAACTTTGCTTAATGATTTGAAACCAGTTGTGTTTTGTTGTGTTTTTATTCATTGGAGGTTTAACCGAAGTGAAGCGTGAAATATTTTACATGCCACCTTGTATTTTTACATAATAGGTACAATATGATCGAGAGAAACACGGTGTCAACGATGGCTATGAAATAAAGATCGCTGTCATTTTATATATAAAATTATATGGGGAATGTCATCGATCGTCATTTCCAAGCCAACTGGACGCCGCGGCCGCGTCGTTTTCTTTTGATACAGTATTTATATTTATATGAAATGAATTAACTTTTCATAGAATATTTAATATTTAAAAAGGATTTCTTTTCTCATCCCATTATAACACATTTTATCTTATTCGTCAATTTCTTCCTGGGAAGGGTCATTACCCCTTCCGTATATGCTCTGGTACATGCCCCTGCTCTGTGATCATGATGACTTGTTATCATTATAAAATTATTCATTATACATTTTTTATGTTTTTAGCAACTGCTGATCCACAAGCAGCTTTTAGACGAAGGTTTAGTAATGTGGGGGACGTAGTTTCCAGAAAACTTTCAACTACAATTGGTTGGAGGTCAAACGTTAATGGTTAGTATAAAAAAAATGTAATTCTCGAAATATTCTTGTACCTAATTTTCAAACATATACCTATTGTACTGCGCACCCTGTATGTATATTATACATGGTGAATTAACGATTATGTAATTAGATTTCTTGTGGGCTCTAAAGTATTCAAATAAATTACGTATCTTTTTAAACTAATTACACGAGAAAAAAAGCTGAAGCTGAGAGCTAAAGTATAAAGTATCTATGGTTTATTGTTTAGTTCAGAGGTAAATTATGTCTGCAATTTTTTTAATGTTGTCTCTGACTTGACCAATTACTGGTTGGATAGACCGAAAAAAAAAATTTTAGTTTTTTAAATGGAATATAATTGTTGCAAATTTCCAAGTAAATATAAGTTCAAAATAATATACGTACATTTAGTTAGAAATTTGCCTGTATATCTAATTAATAATGCTTAATTAATATCAATAATATACCTATCTATACAGGGTGGCGTCTCTCATACGACGCGGAGGCTCCAAGGAGAGTCCTTCAAATCCCTTCAAAATTTAATAATTTCAATAACAGCTACCTAAATTGTAATTTACCCTGTATAGCCTGATATAAAATTTGGATTAAAAAAAAGACCCTAAAATTTATACAGGGTGAGACAGGATTAACATTGGTCACTTTTAAAAACAAGTTACTCCTTTATTTTAAATAGAACACCCAGTATATTATTCCGATATTCAATGGAGAATTTATATATCTTCAAAATACTAAATATTTCTAAAATTTATATCTGCCTATGTTGGTTTATCCTAAATTCACAGTGTTTAATAAAATAATATAATAATTTAAAATACTCTTTCTGTTCAACTCCATATATAGAGTTATTGCTAATCTTAAAATGCGGATTGTGTGGTAAATATAATATATTTCTAACAAACATAAATAAAGTAAAGAAAGTATTTAATAATGTATATAGGTAGATGCGCTACTAGAACAGCTAAATAAAATTCATAAAACTAACATATCATAATTATTGTTGACAAGTAGTAGATAATAAATGCGGGTATGAAACTATAATTATTTAGCACTCTATGAATTTCATAATTAATTGATTTACCTACACGGTAATTATATATAATTATAATTACTCATACTAGTAAAAAATCATATTTCATGGTTTTAGTCCCAAAACAAACAGTGTCACGTTCTGTAAAGGAACAATTTTTTAAAGTGTCTTTCTAAGATCTTTAAAAAATTCGCTATAATTCAAATCTTAACTCAACGTTTCTCCGGATTTATACACTTGCTCAAAACCGATAATAAAATAATATATAAAATCCCAACAAAAGAGATGTCAATCAAAACCGACTATAAAGGTGTTTAAATTTGGTTGTCGTGATGTCAATTCCGTGTTTTCTGTATGAATATAGAAATATATTATGAGAATAATATATTTCTATATTAATAATACCAGATTCATCCAAAAATAAATTAAAAACTTCATAAAAAACTTGAGGAGCGACAATATTAGTGAATTAAAAAAATCTTCAATAACAACTAACAAATTCCTAGAATGACTATAAATTTATCAGTAATTTGCGAGTCGACAGTGGTCTACAGGGTATTCAAATCGATAGAAGTAATGAAATAAAAATAAATATTTTAATCGATACACATATGGTTGGCTGTGAAACTGTTAGAATATTATTTTTTATCTTTTCTATTATATTTAATCTTGGAATATTAAAAAAAGTTACACTCTGTTACATTTTATAATAAAAGGGTAGTTTTTAGCCGCACCCCCTAAAGAAATCATAGCCGTTGGCAGAGCCCTTTGTACTTTGTACGTAAGAACGAGACTAAAGAAAGCCGGATTGTTTAACAAGAAATTAGGACTGACAAGAGTAAGAAGCGCTGTGGGATCATTGGAGGGATGCAGCAGTATAGTCAGAGAAGTATTTCCAGGTAAACTTATATTAGAAATGAACATTATAAAGTGTGTGCATAAAGAACATTGTCCAGATACGAAAAGATTCTCATAAAGATTTTACTTATAAAGAAGACTGCTTTCTAGCAAACTAATTGCCAACAAGTTAGGGAAGATTTCGACAAATGACATCCAAAAAATGACAGAAATTCAATTTACTTTTTTTTTTGAGTTCCAGTTGGCATTAAGAGGGTAAAAATTATTTTTAAATGGTGTAGTTTAAAAATCGAGAAAAAAAAATAATTTTTTGGAAAGACTAGAAGTCTACCTAGAGATTGACCTCGCCAAAATCATCATCGATTGTTATTCCGCAGCCGTCTTTGACGCCGTTTTTTTTCGACCATACGGTATTTCAATGTTGACAAGTGTATTCCTAGTTCTATTAAGGATGCAGATACTTTTATCAAGAATACAAATTTCTGGGAAATTTAATATATTTATATTTATCTTTATGGTGTCCAATATTATTGTTTCTTTTTCTAGGTTTAGCATGTGCGGGGCAAGAATTAGAAAGAATGCACCCGAAGTTGTATACGAAGATATTTAGACATACAGGTCCACCATCAGCTGATGGTAATGCTGGATTACTCTTGGCCATAGGACATCACATTTTAAGGACTGAAATTACCTGGGGCAAGGTATTCCTGTTTTAAATAATTGTAAATTAGGAACATAAAAATCACAGTCTATTCATTAGACAGCCAGTCGACTTCGCTAGTTTTTGGTACCCACGCTTCACCTGCAGCGCCTGTACTTGACTTGATAAAGTGTTTTTTTTTAAATTTCGGAGAAATGGTAAGGACTTGAAAATGTTTCAATATAAAAACTGTCCCCTAGCTTTTAGCTACTCTATCTCGGTTAATATTGATTTGAGCAAAAAAAGTATAGAGTTATTTTTTTTGTAAAACACGCTGCTTTGACGCTCTACAACTTTTATTTGAACTTTTTTTCTCTTCTATACTTTTTTCCTGAAATTTTGAAAAAATCACTTTACTACCTCATCTAAGGATATAACTGTATGTTTTAGGTAGCAGCAGTATTTTGTATAGCAGGCGCTTTAGCTGTTGACAATGTCAAATCACTTTAATTATTTATTTCACCTTTCACCTCAACCCTTCTCGGGGCTGAATTAAAGAAAAACTTTCACAATTCGTTTTTAGATGTTTCAAAGTAACTTATATCAAAAATTCAAGTTTTTACCGAAACTTCTTAAGATAAGCCAATATCTAGATAGGTACGCAGAATACCATGTAAATGATTGTAAGTCAATTGGCTACCTAACGAATAGACTGCAATGTGCTCAAAATATATTAACAACAATTTAACCAAAGAGAACAAAAAAGTTTTGCTCGCTGTCAAGTAGTTTGTAACTAAAGGTTACATTATATCGTATAATCGAAAAAAAAAACGGCGTCAAAGACACCTGGGGATGATAATCGATGATAATTTTGGCGAAATCAATCTCTATAGATGTCATTTACTAAAAATTGATATAGGATGTGTCAATTTTTAGTAAATGATGTTAGAATTAACACTAATAATAGAAAAATCAAAAAAGGCTAGAAAGTTCCCACATACACAAATCTATTTCCAAAAAAAAATTTTTTTGAATTTGAAGTAACACCATTTAAAAATAATTTTTAGTAAATATAAAAATAAATTACAACCTTCTTAGAGCCAAATGGCAGTAAGCGCCATTAAAAAATGAAGAAGAGTACGGGCCAAGTAAATGATGTCTAGGGCTTGACCTCGCCAAAATTATCATCGATTGTCATTTCCCAGCCGTCTTTGACGCCGTTTTTTTTTCGATCGTATGGTACTACCTCATCTAAGGATATAACTGTATGTTTTAGGTAGTAGCAGTATTTTGTATAGCAGGCGGTTTAGCTGTTGACAATGTTAGACAAGGACAAAATGATCAATTACATGTCATTTTGGAAGATATGACTGAATTACTAGAAGATAATATGGCGTATTGGGTAAATGCAAATGGAGGCTGGGTAAGCAATAAATACAGTTTTTTTTTATCATAAAGTATACTTATAATTTATCCTTATTCTACGTGTAGAATCAATTTCGTATTGATTTAAATTAATTATATAGTTTTCTACAAATTGTATAACTTTATGATATTTATATACAGGGTGAGTTTTAAATAAATACAAATATTTTTAGGGGTTTCAACACCAGAAACACGTCTATAAGGTTTTTTCGCGAAACATTTTTTTGGAAATTTGAAATAAAATCTGACAATATGGCAACATAGGTAGTAGATTAAATTTACAAGAAAGAAAACTCAGAAAAGAAACAGTGGTTCTCAAAATTTAAACAAAAAAAATTTTTTTTGGAATTTTCAAAGTAAAATAACTCGGTTATTTTGGACTTTGGAATTTGGAAAATGATAAAGAGAATATATGTTTCTTTTATCGAGATCTACCAGCCCTGAAAATATTTGTACTTATTTAAGGCTTACCCTGTATATTACTATAACAGGTATACCTATATATTTTTATGATTTGTGTGTTTTGATTTCAGACAGGACTAAATGCCCATTGCCGTCTTAAAAACCAAGAAGTGTCAGTGTCAGAATACGTTACCTTATTTGGATTTGTTAGTGTTATTCTGCTAGTCGTTTATTTTGTTGTTAGATTTTGTATCAAGTTTAGTGGATAGGGTGTGGACCAGAAATGCCAAACTAAATTATGTACTTAGTAATTTAGTATTACGCCTTAATTAGTATTTTTAAATTATATTTAAGATATTTTACATTTACTGTATAGTTTATCATGCATTACTTTATTATAAATTTATAATTGATATATCCTGGCGAATTCATCTATTTCTAAATAAATTTTATACATTAAAATAAAATATATTTTTTAAGTGTTTGACAAGATCAAATAACGAAATCAGAATATTTTGAATGTAAATATGCCAAAGATGGTATGCCTTCTCTCGTTTTGTCAGTGTTTAAAATGCAAGTCTATAAGATATATTTTATTATTAAATTTCAAAGTAATTTTTCTTCGCCTTTTTTTTTAATAAAGTACCCTGTATGTTATTATTTGGTGTAGGTTTGAAAAAATTAGCATATTTGTATTTGAAATGTTTAACTGTTTTCAGCTGTTTTGCAGTTTTTCGAGATATACATGGTGTCCTAATAAACTACTCAAAACAATTAATATCGGATACTTTTTAAAAAAAATATTAATTTGAAAAACAAGACTCTTTGAATTCCCTGACTTACGATTTTAAATAGCATGGTTTTTATGCGCTGACCTGTAATTTTTAGTCGGCCGACTATTTAGTTGCAAAGTGTAAACAATACATACTTATGAAGTCGATCGGCCGACTATTTGATTGCATTGAGCGCGGCTCCATAAGGATATATCGGTTACAAATATACAACTAAATAGTCAGCCGATTAAAAATTGCCTGTCAGCGCATAGCCTAAAGCTACGCGTGTATTCAAATATGGGCCGATCGGCTCCATAGGAACGTATTGTTTTCACTTTTGCAACTAAATAGTCGGCCGACTAAAAATTACATGTAAATGCGTACCCTAATTATCCTAAAAAAAACTCACAAGAGGAAGGCAGAAAAATGCATGCTTCATATAGAAATATGTAATAATTATTTTTATTCAAATATGCGATAATTGTTTTGAGTAGTGTATTTCCTGAATATAGAACTATATAATTTTTCTTCAATATAAAAGTGTTTCGTTTATTCCTTAAAAGGCTACAGAACACTTTTGTACAGAGGAGTGTTTCTATAGAAAACTGTGTCCAATTAATTTATTTTAATTCCAAAAATACGTATCTAGTTCTATGTTCACGGAACTTTGGAACACCCGCCTGTATGTTTTTTAATAATAGCATATTTGTATCAATTTTTTCTTTATTCTAACAGTACTTCATATTCATAAAATTTCATCTACCCAATTGCGAACGGCCTATATAAAACAACCTAATAATAATCTGACCAGTAGCGTAGTGCGGAAAAATTTGCATAACTGTTGCATTCCTCAGAAAAAATCACCACCATAGCTTCGCTCAAAAATAACACTCAATAGGCCTCGTCACGACCGACCGTCGTATTAATACTTTCGGATTTGGCAAAGTGTCAAAACACTGCGCCTAATATTAGACCACTATCCAGACTATGGATGGAGCGTCTTAGGCGTGCGATCAGTAGTGTCTCTGTCCTTTTTGGCAATGTGTTAAGGTGTTCGCAACGCGTATATAAGGCGTTAACGGTCTCAAAATGAAAGTAAGTAAGGTGTAATACGGATATTTTGTTAGATATATTTCCGCATACCGGTGATATGAGCCATACATTATTACTTAATCTCTGCACTGCTAGAATTCCATCGTCAGCTGTTCCAGTGTGCGCGTATATTTATAGCTACCTATATTTTGGGACAGCCTAATGTTGCAACAAGTGTTGTCAAACAATCGAATATTTTTATTGGTATTATTGTTGATCAACATTGTGAAAATATAATTTCCATGTAACTCTGGAACAATTATGGATTGATAATTATACTGAGCACTTCTATATTTGACAATAATTGTTCATGTTTATACAACAAAAAAAAAAACGGCGTCCAGTTGGCTTGAAAAAGAACATCGGTGATTTTTCCCATATAATTTTAAATATAAAATGACAGCGATCTTCATTTCATCGCCTTTGCTATCGCTGACGCCGTTTTTTTCGATCATACCTTATTTAAATTAAGAGCATTTCTTACCATGATCGAAAAAAAAGACGTCAAGTTTGCTTGGAAACGACGATTGATGACATTCATCATATAATTTTATATAGAAAATGACAGCAATTTTAATTTCCAAGCCAACTTTCAATTACACTTTATACTTTTTAGTTTACGATCATTCACAATGTCTAGAAAAACAGAATTAAAATTTATAAAATATTCTAGAAACTACTTGCGGTAGTCTGTTGTATCCTGTTGTATCCATAGAGACAGTATAATATTTTAGCTTATAAAACAATAAACTTTTGATTTCTAACCAAAATTTTTCTTGACGGATGATAACCAAAGGTCAAAATGACATTCCTCGCAAATTTGGAAGTATAATTATTCTAAAAGTCAAAAGTTTGTTAACTTTTTCAACTAATAGAAAATTACTACCACTAATTATGACGTTCTGAATGCTTATATTAAAAATAGATGAACAGATTTCTACGCTAATTGAAATCACTAATTTACTCCACAAATTTCGAGCTTTACATTTTATGGATACAACAGACTACCGCAAGCTGTTGCTAGGATATTTTATTAATTTTAATTGTGTTTTTTTAAATTAATTTCCTGATTTCTCTAATACTAAAATCGATGCATCGGAACCATTGAATGCAAATACCGTATGATCGAATAAAAACGGCGTCAGCGATGGCTATGAAATGAAGATCTATATGTAAATTTATATGGGAAATGTCATCGGTCGTCATTTCCAAGCCAACTGGACGCCGTTTTTATTCGATCATACGGTATCTTGAAAACCGTTTACCGTTTCGAACTAATCGAAGAGCGCCTTTTAATTCAATACCTTTCAATTTTTATTAGAGTATATGTCTGTCTATAGTACACAGTTGTGCATTTAAATTCTATTATAAGCCGCACTGAATTTTGTAATGGTTTTGTAGAAATAGGTTATTATTTTTAGAAGTAAACATTAAATTACAATGTAGGTTAAATCTTGTAAGACATTCTTGTGTTAACCTACATCTTACCTCGTTGGAGACTGGTACTCGCAGTAGGTACCTTAAGGTACGTTTATGTTGGAGCTGCGATAAACGATAAAAGCAGTGAATTAGCGCTGCTCTTATCGTTGCTCAACTGCCAACCGTCACTGCTTTTATCGTTTATCGCAGCTTCAACATAAACGTACCCTTACTTAAGAACCAACGCGCACAAACACACATCTTTGGCACATCTTACTTATAACAGAAAGAAGCTGCATTACTATGTCACAAACGTCAAAAATATGTTGATTTCATACCATTGTTTCATACATATGAAAATCACCCCAATCAATTTAATAATAATAATTCAAATAACAACACTAGATACTGAAAAGTGATATTTTCGTAGCACTATCACGATTAATTATTATGATCAGAGCAACACAAAAATTAGATTTTATTATCGATGTTGAGTATGTTATTTTCTACTCTGTAAATGTAATTTTTGGCACACGATTAAATTATTTAAAAAAACTATGAAACAAAATGCACATAGGTACTTATGGGGTGCCGGGTGTTGGTTATACCGGGTGCGATTCAAAAGTAGTTCACCCCTACAACTCTTTTATTTTTTTTACATAAAAAACGAGATTTGGTATGTTAGTACATGACATAATTGGGATCAAAATTGGGATTGATTGATGTATTCAATTCTTTTCGGTCACTTCCTGTTTCACCGGAAATTACTACTGACATCCTTGTTATACTTTTTTATTTTAAATTCAAAGGAGGAAATCAATTAAATTGTGATACATCCCAAAACACATTCTAAACCAAAAATCAGGTGTCAAAACTAAAAAGAAATATATATATTTACGGTTTTAAGTGTTTTTTCTTACGAACTAACCTACTCTTTGTGAAAAACCTGAATTCTGGCGTCTAAATTTTTTTAAAAATAGCTAGAATTTCCTCGCGGATTTGACCGAGACGCTAGTATTTATTTTTAGACATTAACTTCCTACTTATTAAAATTTCGCTTTTGATACGCACCATTTGGGTTAACGGGTTAATGAAAGAAAACTTCGCAATAAAAACTGATTAACGTTTATGTTAGAAGAAAAGTCGTTTTAACAGAGTGGCAATTTCAAAATGTTTTATATTTTTTCACGAAGTCTATACCGAATCTATTGAATACCTACTTTTATATAAGTTAATTTTTTCTCGAAAGAGCGGTTAACACGGAATACAATGAAATTAGATATAAACAAAAAGTTCTATGTGTTCTTTCTTTTGAAAATATTGGGTGACGTTTTTTTTACTTGAAATCACTTGTAAAAAAAACAGCAAAACTTCCAGTATATAGAAGCCTTCCCAAACACAAAATAATAAAAATTTCTCTGCGGAAATGCATCATTCTCTTTTTTCCGACTTTAGAATAACTGAAATCAGTTACATGAAAAGTGTTCCTGCTTTAAACACTTTTCTTGTGTAGGTATGAACTTAACCTAGTAGGTACTGTAATTTAGACATCAATACTAGACTATTCGAAAAGATTTCCAAATACCAAATAAACAAATATTTCTTATACACATAACTGATTTCAAGTAAACGAAACTTGAGCCAAAATATTTTCCACTCTTTTTCTTCCAAAATTTTTCACTTCCGGTCAAACCGGTGATTGTCAACTTGCTTCTTTTAGATGACACCAGAGATGACACACCTTATTAATTAATAAGGTGTGCCATTTAAATGAATAACATTTTATGTATTAAACTTTTGTGTATAATGTTAAATCGACAATTCTGTGTCCAACGAGTCAGGGAAGATTTGGTCTTTCAAAAAAATGCCAAAATAAAATTTACGTGTGCATTAACATGATGTTGTTACATGTTAATGCACACGCAAATAAAAATAACGGAAATCCGAAATTCTTTTAGTTGCAATATACAGTATGTTCCCGGATTTGTCTTTACAAGAGGAAAAACTTTTTTATTATTGACAATTTGAGAAAAAATACATTCTTCATGAAAAGTTCTGCTTGTTCTAAAATGGTTAATCCTGTTTATACTTTTCCAAATTTCCATACCGTTTTAGAGAATATTAAAAAAAAACACGAAAAGATGGGTGAAGTTTTTCCTATGAGTCCTAAAAATCAAAACGCATTTCTATGGTAATATAATTTTGTTTTCATTCTTTGATAGATGGTTATTATTATTTTAATTTTTTTTCTCTAAAACGATTTGGAAAAGTATAAACGGAATTCGTCATAAATTAATTAAATTTTCGTCATAAATTTTAAATTCGTCATAAATTAAATTCAATAAACGGAAGAATAAGTAAAAATTTTTAAGAATGCATTTTTCTCAAAATGTCAATAATAAAACAGTTTTTCCTCTTGTAAAGGCCATCCCGGGACGTACTGGATATACAGGGTGTCCCACGCTGAGCGTGCATTAGAAGTTTCTAGAGAACTACAATATCTAGATCTGGAATTTTTTGCACATCACTGTTTCACAACGACATCTATCGATTAAAAATATTTTCAATATGGCGGCACTTCCGGAAATACCGGAAGTTGACAGCAACTTTCTTTTGATATCAAACACTCTATATCTAACATTGAGTTTTTGAGAAAAAAAATATTTTAAATGTTTGAATGTAAAAAAACTGCCTGTCAAAAATATGTGTAGGTATGCCTAAACGTCAATTTTAGTGATTACCACAGCCACTGTGCCAGAAAGAAGAAATATGTCGCTATCTATTTCAAAAATTAAATTGTTCCAATGTCATATAATATGCTGTTTTTTTTTCGATCATACGGAATATTATTAATATCAACTATTAGATATCACTAAAGAGCGAAAATACGAGATATATTTTTATAAATATACTTTTTAAACTCTTAAGACAGGCAGTATTTATGATATAGGATATTTCTACAGATAGAGAAAATAGAGAGAGAAATAGAGATATACTTTTTATGGAGATATAGAAAATTTCTGACATATACTGACAATAAATTGTCTGACCGTTTGACGCTTAATGTCAAAGGAAGCTAGATATAAAATCAAGAAAAATATTTCAAATTAAATCTTAAATAACCTAAAAACTATTTATTTTAGGTATAAGAACATGTATTGTTAAAAAGTAACGAATTGAAAACCCTTGTCATTAGTGAAATAAAAAAAGTGGGTTTCAATTTGATAAAAAATGATTATGATCATTTTTGAATCGCTCAATTCCATGACAGCTACAGCTATAGCTATTATTATATATGACATTTGAACAATTTAATTGTTGAAATAGATAGCCACATGTCCTCTGTTTTTGTCACAGTGGTTGTGGTAATCACTAAATTTGACTTTTACTTTGCTTTTACGCTATACAAATGTTTTTTGACAAGTAGTTTTTTTCGCCCAAAAATTTTAAATATTTTTTTTCTCAAAAACGGTTAATGTTAGGTATAGAGTGTTTAACATAGAATTTTACAGAGAATTTAAGTATGCAATAAAAAATGGGAGCATCCATTTAAAATAAGAAAGTTGTTGTCAACTTCCGGTATTTTCGGAAGTGCCGCCATAGTGAAAATATTTTTAATCGATAGATCTCATTGTAAAACAATGATATGCAAAAAGTCTCCGATCTAGATATTGTGGTTCTCTAGAAACTTCTAATGCACGCTCAGCCTGGGACACCCTGTATATCATTCTAATATTAAAAAGAAACTTTTTTTTTCAAAAATAGTTTATTATCGATACGGTATAAAATACAAATGATATAATATGTAAATAGAAAAACGAAAGATATGTGAGAATTAATCTTACTATATGCTTCAGAATACAAACGATAACCAATGGAGACCGATGTCCATTTCAAACCCATCGACGAGACTACGCCTTGCCCGCAACATGCCCCAATGGGTGGTAAGTATCGACTTTACGAGTTTGAAATGCACAACCCGATTATTTTAAAGCTGGAATTTGTTCAACAATGTAGATAATTTAGAAAATAAACATGTCCAAATGTTAGGGATAGTGGAAATGTGCAATAACAATAACTTTCTTACAAATATTAATTATTATGAACTAAAATTACAGAAAAAGTATTTTCATAGCATTCTAAATGCACATGCTTTAGAGTAACGAGCATTTCATCCTGGGGGGCCTAGAGGCGCCTAGGGCTTTTATTAAAAAAAAAATGAAGAATAATAACGTTAAAAAATAAACACATTTTTAGAATAAAACGTTTACATGAATTTCTCTATTACTAAATTTGATACACTTGGTTATCAATAGAGGGTGTTCCTTAACGACATGCTAATATTTAAGGTGATTCTTGGGCCTATTCTAAGAAAAAAAAACTTCATATGAATATATGTCCTAAACATCTTAACTTTTCAGATACAGGGTGGTAAAATTTTCAAATTTTTTTTCCAAAAAATCTCTGATGGTATATTTGATAAAAGTCTTCCATCCATCAAAATGCTTATTTAGATATACAAAAAAACTGTTTTGAATTGCCTTCCAGACGGTGCAGAAATTATTTCCACACAAGGTTTATGAAGTCAGCGCATCATATTTTCAACAATTCAGCAATCCCGAAATAAACTGACTTGAATTTTTTAAGCCTAAACTATGCGTCGGCGTCGGACGAATAAAATCAAGAGAAAACATTTTTTGATTTTGAAAATAATTTTTATTTTAAGAGAAGTCAGTGGTGTACCATTTTTTTCTCCAAAAATATTCAATGTAAAACCCGTATGGACGGCACTGGATGAAATAAATAAAATTCTTTGTACTCCAAAAAAGGTGTTTTGATGCATAGAAGACGTGTATCAAGTTTCATCTGTAATAAAATCAGAGCTATTATGAAGTTTTTCTCTTAGAATAGGTCCAAGAATCACCTCCTTAAATATTAGCATGTCATTGAGGAACACCCTGTATATCGGGTTCCCGTGGATTACTTAAATACCTACAAATTTTGTAAATAAATAAAAGCTAACACACATTTTATGAACAAAACTAAATAATACTAATTAAACAAAACTAGAAAAAGTAATTTTTACTACATCACAAGCAAATAAAAATTAATAATTAGGAGAGTCATAATTTGCCCCCCCCCCTCTGGACACCAATGCGCACATGGTGGTTGGGTTAGATATATGAATGAAAAAAATCGGCGTTACAGTGTCCTTTCAAATAGATTATTTTCATAAACAGATAAAATTGGGTAACGCATTTTTTCAGGCTACAAATTTTTGATCAGACCTTGTATATTAAGTTTTACATATTGATGAAAATTATTTGCTACATTTAATCTGAGATATTAACACCTATGTATGCAAATATTTAGACTACAAGTATTAATTTTGCTTGAAAGCTATTCTTAGTCATAAGTACCCACTCTTTGATTAAAAGTTTATTTGTTGTAACAGTTTTATCAAAAGCAATCACATAATTATTATTGCATCAAAAATTTTGAAGGTAGATAAAAGCGTAAAACTAAAAAAATGAAGTTTTTAAATAAGAAATGTCAAATGACAGGTAAACCAAGTCGCGCAACTAAAATCTGTCCAACGAGTCAAAAAAAAATTGACAGACGACATCCAAAAAATGACAGAAAACTCAATTTATACCTGTGAATTAAAATGACAGACAACTGTCACTGTCATGTATTTTCTCGTTGGACAGACTTTAACCAGTTGAGTAAACTGCGGTAACGAAGGGTTCCTGAAAATATCGGTTGAATAGATGAGGGTAGAGGTATCTCTACCTTCCATACAGTATACAGGGTGTTTCAAAGTGCTTCAGTGCGCCATAGCTCGTGGGTAGATTCCTCTCGTAAAAATAAGATTTCTTTTTCATATTAACGAGGTTAAGATATTCATCTTTTTTCGATTTATTATGATTTTCTTCCAAGTGTTTTTAGCGATTCGAATGAAATTTTGAGGGTAAAAGTTACTATAAGTGCGACACATTTTAATGTTAATGCTAAAAAAGTGTCGACATGAGGGGACGTGCATATGGGTTGTCACTGGAATATTTTTCAAAAAAAAATGTGTACGCCACTGACTTTTTTGCCTCTTATTAGCAAAAGTGTGTAGGTGTAAAAAAATCCATTTCGAACGATTCTCCCCACGAGAGATGGCATATTTTTTTTGAAACACCTTGTATATTATGAAATTTTAATAAATCATATTAAAGTGAAAATAAATAAGTGGTCCGGGTAATTGAGTTCTAAAAAATAGAGCTTACTTTTTTGTTTTATTAGCTTTGTAAAAAACGCAGTAAGTGCGCGTACGTAAAATACATAAATTTTTAGCCAAACGTCAACAAAAAAGTTCATATAAAACCACTTTTATTTTTAAAAATTCAAAAATAGTTTTTTTTATATATTTTATAAAACAGGTATAACTACCATGTGCGCTTGAATGTCTAACTTGTCTTCACGTTTAATAACGCTAGACGCATATATTTAATATTTCATTTCTTGAGAAAGTTATTAAAGTTGAATTTATGCACACATTCAATATACCTAACTTTTGGACATAGGTATGTGATATGGAAACCTCGCTAATTTTTAACATTCGACTGTAATACAGGGTGGTCCGAACTGTAGTCCGGAAACTTCGGCAGTATATTCTGCAGGTAAAAATAAGTAAAAAAGTTCGTATAAATATATGTCCTAAAACGCTTAGTTCCGGAGATACAGGGTGTAGAAATTTCATTTTTATTTCGATTTTTTTCAAATAATTTCTCAAGTAACGTCAATATTTGGATTAAAATTGGTGTCATTTGACATAAGAGATTTGATTTTGCTGTCAATATAACTCCTATTTGTAGGGAGCGCCAGCTATATATATTTTAACTGTTTTGAAGAGTTATAACTTTTTTCCGTACCTGTAGAAAACTACGACTGAAAAAAGAGTTCTCAAGATATTCAGAATGGAAATAGTCAATACATGTCATTATTGACAAAAAATAAACATGTTGAGCGGATAGTTATTTCTCTGAAATGATTAATTTGTGAACTTTTTGTTATTTAAATTTTATCATAAATTTCTCTTCAAAAAAATCGAGATAAAACAGTTTCTGTTGAACTTTTGGCACAAAAACATTTCAAATTTATGATTTCAGTCTAAAAACTATTTATTTAGTCAATATGTTTAATTTATTTCAATGTTGACAGGTATTGATAATTTCGGTTCCAAAAATCTCGAGAACCATTACTCGTAGCGATTTTTTCCAAGAGACCTCTTTCACGTAAAAAACGTCGTAAATGTATATTTTTTTACTCAGTACTTTTATACAGGCACGGACGAAAAGTTATTACTCTTCAAACCAGTTAAAATATAGGTGGCGCCCTCTACGAGTAGGAGTCATATTAGCATCAAAATCAAATTTTTCATGTCAAAAAAATTCTAGACAACAATTGTTATTCAAATATTGACGTTACTTCAGAAATTATTTGAAAAAAATCGAAATAAAAATTAAATTTCTACACCCTGTATCTCCGAAACTAAGCATTTTAGGGCATACATTTATACGAACTTTTTTACTTATTTTTATCTACAGAATATGCTGCCGAAGTTTCCGAAATACCGTTCGGCCCACCCTGTATAAACACTGGATATTTGAAAATACTGTTTGCTTTATCAAATAAGACATTCAGGGTGCATCCACACTATCCTAAAAACGGCGTAACGGCGTAACGACCTTGAATCAATTTCCAGTAATTCTATTGGCTGAAACATTCATCTGTCAGAAATTTTATCTGTCAAATTCATCTATCAAAAATTTCAGCCAATAAAATTACTGGAAATCCATTCAAGGTCATTACGCCGTTACGCCGTTTTTAGGATAGTATGGATGCACCCTCAGTTGAAGTTCTATTTGTTTCTTATTACTAAACAGCTACAAATTTACGAAAATTACTTGTCTAACTTGAAAATAACACGATACAACTTTTCTCCTAGTCTAAAAATTTTTCTGAGAAGAAATTTAAAAATAATGTAGTTTCTAGTATCCTAATAAACACAAAATAATTATTTATTACCTCAAAACAATAACAAGGCAGTTTTACTTTTTAAAAATTTTCTTAGAAGCATATTTATTTTATAAAGCAAACAATGTTTACCAAAAATTAAATCTTATTATAAATTTTTAAAAATTATCAATAGGAATTATACAATAATTGTATTATATACTATGTATATCATATTATACTATAAAGTAATTGAAAAAAATCTAGAATACTATCTGGCCAATATAAGGCTATATATTTCTTAAAAAAATATTAAAATATAAAGTATTCTTCTGGTTTTCTCTTCTACAATGTAAATAGAGTAAAATCGAGCAGTCACAAAATATAAAAGGCAGATCCTGTCTTACATTGTTCGGTAATATAGACTGAAAAATCTTTAAGGCATGGAGATACAAGTATTCGAAAAGCACCGTCTATTTTACCAACTCTTTGCCATATTGGCATAAAAAAATATTCTACAATTATTAATAGTTAGACTCAAACAGTAGTATCTGCTTACCCTTAAAGAAGTTCAACCTTGGCTTAGAATTAAGGTTTATATTGAATAAAAAAATATCAAAAGTAGCAAAATGATCAAAATAGTATTATGATACTTAAATATATACAATTGAAATATGAAAATATCAAAGTTAAAAGTATATTTAACGAGAAAACTTATATAATAAGGCGTATAAAAATCTTAACATTACTCATTGATAATATCTGTATATCTAAAGAACTATAGAAGACGACTGTATAGATATATAAGTCATAACTACTTAGTATAAACAAGGGTATAAGATAAAAAAAAAAAAAATACGCGATTATAAGTGATTTGCGAATGTAAACTTCTTATTACACTTAAAATACTATGATTTAACAAAATTATGTAGTACAAAAATTAAAATATATTCAGTTCCTAGGGTAAAAAACAAACTGGAAAGTTCCAATTATACAGGGTGAGACAGTATCCTGGAAAAGCTTCATAAGGGGTTATGAGATCCTATTTCAGATTTTCAATGAACCAAAAAAAAAATAGTACAAACATATCGCCCTGTACATCTCTGAAAATATGTTTAAAAAGTGCCCTACTATTCACCTCATATTTTGTAAAAAACTGGAATGAAAATCTCAAACCGAAAATCTGATGTGGACCTTTTTGGAACACTGGGTCACCCTGTAGCTATGTATTATATTTACATAATTTTTTGTTTAAACTTATTTTTAGAGCTCAATTTCCAAGAATATTATTACGTATGTTTACAAAAATTCAGGAAAAACATTATTAAACTATATCATATTTCAAATAATTAAGCTTATATCATTTTTAAATAAATTTATCATAAAAACGTTATTATTCCTAAATACATATTGTTTATACTATTCACAGTTTCATATTTTTTATCTTATTGCCATATAGGTTTCTTTACATAAATATCTGAAGAAAATTTGGAACAAAATAAGTTTAAATAAAAAAAAGTTTAGAATGAGAAAAATACATTCCCTTGAGTTTTTGTCAATAATCATATCACTATTGTGTGTATTTTTTAGGATAGGTACCCTCTAAAAGTAACCTCAGAAATTCAGGTTTTTTATATGACATTTTTAAAAAACAATTTTAAAATAAATGTAATAGAACAATGTTATTTTTTTCTAAAAAAAAAATTGGTTTAAAAAATGTCTGGATATGGATTTTATCACTAAGAATACAACTTACTATTCAATTGTATGAGTTTATAATTACTTCACAAGTACCATTATGTTTCCTCTTAATATTTAATTATCTTCCTCTGTTTCCATTTTGTCATCCCCATCATCACTAGCACCAGATTCGTTGTCCTTATGACACATATTTATATCATTTGAACTGGTACTGTTCTCTTTTTCATTTAATTGTTCTGTTTGTTTTTTCTTTTCTGGTTCTGCTTCATTTTCACTGTTTGTGTCTGACTCTTCTTGTTCATTAGTATTCGCGTCATTGCTATCCGAGCCTTTTTTCATTTCTGTCTCCCCATTTTCTGTAGGTTTCTGATCTTCACTTTCGACATCAGATGATTCCTTATATTTATTTTTCCCTAGAACTTTGTATTTATAGCCCGCATCGTTACGAAAATGCAATTTTTTATGTTGCTGCAAATATGATTGTGTTGAAAAGTCCCTGTTACAAATATCACAAGTAGCATTTTTCATGCCCTTTATAAAGTACTTTTTCCTATTTTTCTGATGATGTTTACGCACCTTATGGCGTAATAATCCAGATGAACTGTGAAATACTCTGCTGCATACATGACAAACAAAGTCACCATTCTCGTTAGGAAATAAATTATGATCGGCAGGTGTTTCTGCTATTATAGACATACTTAGTGAGTCGTTTTCGAAAGAATCTTTCTCAGAGAAATCCTTTAAGGTTAAAGAATTATTTTCTGCCAGGCTAGATTCCAGAATATGGCTTTTCATACAATGTTCAAATTCTGGTCTTGTTAAAAAGGAAGAGTAACAATATTCACATTTAAATGGTAGTTTACCTAGATGGAACTCTTTAAAGTGCTGTTTCAAAAGTCTGACAGTTAGAAAGCTCTTTTCACACATTTCACATGAAAAATTTCCTTCTTCCAAGGAACCGGAAAGAAAATGAGCACCCGACATGAAGAAATCTTCTTTTGGTAGAATAGGAACAAAATTGCCTGAAGTGTTTTTTCCATTGCTTGTGCCATTAACTTTAACGGTTTTGTGATCAATTTTTTGCTTGGTAATGACCTCGTCCCAATCATTTTTAGACTCGTCTCCGCTATTTGAGTGGTCATGTTCTACTGATAAAAATGAAGTTGGATCTATTTCAACACTCATTTCTTCCGCATTAGAACTAGTCAAAAGTTGATCAACATTTAGATTGACAGCCTGTTCTTTACTTGCCTGTAGTAATTTTACAGGTTCAGTTGGTTTTAAAGGTGGAGGTTCTAGAGGACTTATAGAAGTAATAGGAACCAGCTTTTGAAAGGTATTATTTATGTTCAGAAAAAGATTTTGATTAGTATCTTTATTTTTCTGATCACTTGAATTGCCTCCAATACTAGGCACTGCAGTCAGACTAGTTGCAGGGATAAGGTTTAAAAATACATTCTGAAATGAGTTACTTGTTGTGCCTTGATTTTGTGGGCCCACCAGTATTTTCACATATTTATGATTAGGGAGAATCATAAATGTACCCCCTTGAGGTGTGTTAGTGGCACTAGGAGATTCATTTTTCTTTTGAGATTCTTTGACTAATTCTACATAGTTTTTTAAAACACCTGCTGATTGTACACATTGTTTTTTAAAGCTGTACGCTATATTGAGTCGCTTGATACACGGATGGCACAACAAAGGCTTGTAAGTCGTCCATTCCTACAAACAAACAAATATAGTTCCCGGTTCCGGTATACAATAATAACAAAACCACTTACCACTTCAGAAACACAAAGTTGTAATTTGCTGATTAGTGTCTCGTTAGGCTCGTTTTCGATATGAGCTAAATCTATTAGGTTCTTATCATATTTGAGACATACACGGCAAAAATTTGGTAACGTAAACATGGTCATACAAAATTAAAATACAACTTTTAATAATTTTTTCTTAAAAACTGAACTGTCAGAGCTTTGTCAAACGACACGCCATATTCGACAAATCAAAACAAAAAATTATATTAAGAGCTACCAACATGACTCACTCAAAAAGCCTAGACGACGCTCGATTTTAAATTTGGCCGCCAATTATTTTTTACGTTATTTATAGATTTATTTTGTGTTCTGTATTTTTCATTGAACTTCTTCAGAGATATATTGAGTGTATTAATTTATAATTTTGGTTAATTTTTATATTAGCATATTTACTATAAAAGAAAAATAAGTAGAAATAATTATTTTGCAGAATAAAAGTGGTTCCAGTGGTGTTCCGCCACCTCCTGTACCTCGTGAAGAGTCTTCAAAAGCAAAACATCAAACACAGGAACCCGATTATGAAGTAATTGAATTTGGGCAATATTCAAATGCACCGTTACTACAAAATAAACATGAGCAAGGTATTTAAAAAACTGCTAAGACGGGTCTGGGTAATAGCAACAGTTACTATATATGATAACATAGTAATAATAATAATTAATATTACTATGTTATCTGTGGGTGGTAGGTTTAATTTTATTATTTTATTTTAGGAAAACCCAGACCAGAAAAAAATTGCCAACTATGCGGATCGTCTTCGCCAACAGTTAGCGTACGCTGTGAACAATGCAAACAAATTTTTTGTTTGTCATGCGACGATATGTATCATAGACATCCAAAGAGACAGACTCATATACGAAGGGTACGAATATATTATCTTAATTAAACATTTTTTAAGTGAACTGTGAGTGAACCACATAATATACTAGTTGAAGCCTGGTGCATTCGCCACTATATCAGGAAAAAAAATACTTTTTATTTTTTGTTTAATTAAATGAAAAACAAAAAATCCGGCGACGACAGTTTTTAGAAGAGCCAATTGGCTATCTTTTAGTAAAAAAGCAACTTTCTAGAGCAAGTCGTTACTTCAGTAGAGACGACACAGATAAACATTAGCATTTTATATTATGTAGAAGAAGAAGATATTTAACAAAACTTTGGTTGCACGTCATCAATGACACCATGCGTCGTCTTATGGAGTTTGCTGGTGGTCGTATTATGATGTGCAACCAAAGTTTTGTTAAATATACTATATGTAGATACTTACCATACTCAGCCATACTATAAAAATTATTAAATTCGGGCTATAGTGTAATTTCAAAATATTTTTTGACGATAGAATATAATTTTCTTTTAAAAAATCTATTATGTAGTACAAACAATATAAAAAATTAATTATTTTATAATCCTGGAAGTTATACAACGTCAGTAAATAAGTTATACAGGGTGAAATAAGTGCAAATATTTTCAGGGTTGGCAGATCTCAATGAAAGAAACATATTTTCTCTTTACCGTTTCCAAGTCTAAAATAACCGAGTTATTTACTTTGGAAATTTAAAAAATAATGATTTTTCGATTAAAGTTTGAGAAGCACTACTGGATCTTTTCTGGATTTTCTTTCTTGTAGATTTATTCTATTACCTATGCTGCCATATTATCAAGTTATTATTATGTTTTTTAAAACAAAAAATTAAAAAAAAAAATCCACAAATTACAAATTTTCCAAAAAAATTGCGAAAAAACAATAGGCGTGTTTCTAGGGTCGAAATATTCTACCCCTAAAAATATTTGCACTTATTTAAGATTCACCCCCTATAATAGTAGTTATATTATGGGTAGTGGTAATATTCCCTATCCTTATTATTGGATATGTTTAGTGATTGGTATATTATGTATCTCAGTCGCGTCTACAGTTGAAAAAAATGTTAGTAGCTTTCACTAACTTTTAATATTCCTTTAGAGAATAGAAGATAAAGGATTCCAGCCCATAAGACCACCCCTGCCCCCCAAAGGAGAAAACCCCCATGTTCCCGTGCCTCCGCCGCGTCGCCATCGCAGAGCTGGATCAGTCGGGCCATCCCCATGTCCATCACCTACGCCAATGAAACAGCATGTACGTCATTAAATTTTTTAGACATTCTTTCTATGCTTGAGCATGAACTAATTTTTGGCGCTTGATTTGACATAGATGATGATAAATTGTGTCTCTAAATTCAAGGCATCTTTTTAACAGGTACTTTTGATAAACACTGCTTACCTACTAGTTCAGGGGAATATATGATTAGGTATCAACAATTTCTAGCGTTTCTTTTTTATTTTTTAGAGTGTATTTTTAAATGTTACAGTGTAGTATGTGTATTATCTTTGGAAACTAGCTTTACAGGGTGTTTCAAAAAGCATGTTCATCATGTAAAAATATTTTTTGCATCAACATAGGTCCGATTCTGCTTTATTTCGCAGCTATAGTGCTTTTCCAATTAGTGATTCGGTCGATTTTGATTCCCTTGATGTCTTTTAAAAATAAATAAATTTAAAATTAAGAAATTATTTATTTAATCTAATTTGTTATTAAATTTTATTAAAATTTATAACACTGATGATCAGTTCTAGCAAATTAAAAAAAATGGTATTTAAGATAATTACAAAAGACCTATTTTTTAAGACAGTTTTAACATCCTGTAACTATGCGATTCTGCACCCATGTTAGGGACTTTTTTTCATATTTTTTGATGAGGAATCAAAAAGTACTTATTTAACACTTTGGCTAGTTAACGACATTAATTAACCGGCCATTATTTGAAAGGTTGGTATTAGACTGGGATTAAAGTAAATTAATAAAATTGCCTTTATCTCATGAAGGAAACCGAAATAGATACAATATCAAAGGGCAACCTTTAATGCAGCATTAAACGGTCAATTTTGCTAAAAAATATTCCACTGATACCCATATGCACGTCCCTGGTGTGTTGCACTTTATTAATTTATTTATTAATTTTTACCCTCAAAAAATTTCATTCGAATTCGAATAAATCGAAAAAAAAAGTGAAGACTTTGACACCCTGTACCAACGAAACAAAGCAGAATCGGACCTAGTTCGATATAAAAAATAAATCTTATTTTTACGTGAGGAATCTTCCTACGAGAGATGGCACATGTTTTTTGAAATACCTTGTATATTCTATTTTTTATCATTATTCATATGCTGACTAAACGAGGAGCGATAACATGGCCTTTTTATAGGGTGCGTCCTCATTCACAATGCCTAGAAAGGACAACTCGTTCAGCCTTAAAGAGAAAATGAGTAGTTTAAGAAGAGGACTTACTTTAGGTAATAGACCTTTGCCCCCTACGCCTCCTAGTGGCAGCAGTGGCGTGCCTAGTTATCCGAGTAAGTATTATATAGGGCGTTTCTTAAATAAATAATATACGACCCCAGAGAGCTTGAGTTTTTTTTTCGCGGGTTGAAATAACTTCTGTATTTTTCTTTAAACGTACTTGTGTATTTTAGAGCAGAAAAATATTTACAGTAGCTGGTTTATCAGAAATTTTATCAAAGTATTTCCGTGTATTAAGGGCATGAAACATTGCCAATTCGTACATGACCTCCATTGCAAATTGTTGCTCACCAAAAGCTATAACGGCATACGGCATAATTAAAAAAGAATATTAAAAACACATATATTTCTCATTTTTTTTGTGGAATACATGATCAATCTAAAACAAAAATTCAGCGATAATTTTGACAATAATTTTTGGTATACATACCTACTTAAAAATGCTACAATCGCATCATCTTTAAAAAAATATATATATCGCACTCACCAACGTTATTTTTGAGTAACTTATTACTTTTACAATATATAATAAAAGAGATATATTTTTTTAGCGTCAAGATCGAACTCACAAGTGTCTCATGATGACTTTTCTCAATTCCAACCCCCTAGTCCTAGTCCGTCGCTACAGCAGAGATACCGGCAGCACCAATTGGCAATGAGAGGAACTACACCAAATCTACCATCAACTGTAGCGGAATTTGACCAGGTGAAGTATTATTTCTACAGCAGGACGTAGAGATCTTCCTGCTGGAAGATCTCGAATACATATTGGAGATTGGAGGGAAAACATTGGTTTCTCTGATGCATATTTGAGAACTTATGACTTGTTTTGTCATAAAATGTTGCCTGCTTAAACACTGAAATCTGAAAAACTAATCCTATCATTTAACATTTTGCAACGAGCTTTTTAACGATGTACCACATTTGGTAGGTTAGTTAAAAAAAAAAAATGTTAGGGTGACCCCAGTGGCGTAACTAGAATTTTTTTGCTCCCCGCAACTTTTATCATAACCATATTTCAATTTTTAACCATTTTTTTATATCAGAGGCCCCCGCGACCGCAGGGTAAACGGGGGTGTAGCTACGCCACTGGGTTATACCCTCCAAAGGGTGATGCGGGTTTGATTAAAAAGTACGTTTATTTTGGTTCCGTTAGTTATAAAAAGGTTATAAACGTAATGTGTAAAAGATATTGCCGATTGCTGCTTTTAAAATTGTCACCCTGTATTCTAAGATATATGATTACTGTGTAAACAACTGTTACTAAGTGTGAAAACTCCAAACCCAAATTCGTATACATACTATACAGGGTGAGTCTTAAATAAATGCAAATATTTTCAAGGGTGGTATATTTTGACCCCAGGAACTCTATGAGTTTTTTTTCGCAAAAAAGATGTTGAAAATCGTGCATTTTCTTTCAAATTTCCCTGTATATTTTAGAAAACTTTTTAGTACTGCCTGTTCACCGTAAATTTTCCCACGGTATAATTTTTTAATCTCTGATATTACCATGGTTGCGGCTTTAAAAGGGAATCATTTACAGAAAAAATCCAGGGACTCTAAAATTATTTTAAAAATAAATTATTTTTTAAAATTTTCAAACTTGAATAACTCAGTTATTTTGGACTTATTTAAAAAACAGTAAAGAGAAAATATGTTTTTTTTTATCGAGATTTACCCTTGAAATTGCCTTGAAATTGTTTGCACTTATTTAAGATCACACTCTATAATATAATTTTTTATGATAGGAAAAAAGAAATTTTATACTTTGCGTGACAGAGTTTGGCAATTTGTTTCAAATTATACACCAAAACAATAAAATTCAGCAGCTATATGTTGATGCAAACTTCCAACTGATTTTAGAACGCATTGATATTGAAAATCCAGAGAGAAATAATTGAAAATAAATGCAGACAGTAATGCTGTAGCCAATTTAATTGGGTATTCACACTTAAGTGACTTACTCTCTATAACCATAAATATTCTGTTTTCGCTGGGCACAGTATCTAACATTCTTATTTCTATATTACAGCCGTCAAGCCTTGATTCTGGCTATCCAGATTGGGAAAAAGATCAATGGCCAATGCGCAATCGCACAGGAAGCGTTTCTGGATCAGAAACTGGAAGCCGGTTGGTTCGAAAGCTCAGTAATACCTCCTGTCCACCACCAAATCGTGGTGTACCTCACAGCACTTCCGTTTTCGATTTAAACAATGCACCCGTCCACCATCATCATCATGGGTTCATCCCTATGCAACAAGTAAATATCATTATTATTTTATTATCGTCACAATGATAACGCTATTCAAATGTTAGGCTCATTCCATGGCACAACTGAACTACCCCGGAATACCATGCTGTCAAAATGCTTGGATGGAGCAACAGCAGTTGTGTTGTGATCCCGCGCATAACAGTACTATGAGTCTTAATATGGCAGCAGCGGGTTATCCAAGAAATCCGATGTGGATGGGCACATGGCACGGACCACCACCTGGAATGTATCCTTATGGTCTTCCTCCCCCACATGCCAGGTACGGCACAGATATACTTATTTTCTTCTGTTAATTTTTATCTGAGATTATACATTTCAATCGCAATTTTTAATCATCGTCAGTGAAACGTGATAACCTGCTAAGTCCATTTTTTACGTTAATAAGTTTTTTATACCATAAGAAAGAGAAAAAAAAACTCTATAAGTAGGGAAAACAAATACATTTTTTCCCATTAAAGAAAATTTGCCATTTTAACTCAATAATATCTGCTAACTCCCAGTGATCTGAAATAGCCACCGAAATGCTGCTATCTCCGTAATTTCCGTATTAGCTCGGGATCTCTACTACTAGAAATCCTACCTCAAAAGCAGAATTAACTTAGCATGGAGTACTTATGGAAGAAACTCAATCATGCTGAAATCCAGAATGCCACTTATCTAAAGAAGAAAACTTTCGACCAATATTTAGTACCAGTCATGACCTATACATGCGAAACCTGGTCACTTAAAACAGATATCATAAGGAAACTGCAGATCGCACAACGCTCAATGGAACAAAATATGCTGGGAGTAACCAAGAGAGACCGTAAAAGAATAGAGTGGATACGACAAAAGATCCAGGTAATAGATGTCATCCACAGAGTCAAATCCCTCAAATGGCAATGGGCAGGACACCTGGCAAGAAGAACGGACAATATATACTCATACAATCTACAAACTACAAGGTCCGCTATGTCCAGCATATTTTTATTAAAAAAATGTAACCTAGCCCCAAAATCCAGCTGGACTGCTCCATATACTTTGTTAACTTTCCATGCGGGGGATGTACTCGTGTCTTCCACTAGTCTCATTCTCTGTTTAAACGATATTTCTAAAGGCAGGTAAGAGTCTGAAATGTTTGGCGGAGGTTATGCCCAGAGATTTTTCGTATATTAATGTGGATGAATTGTATAATCTCACTGTCTGTTGTAAAATCAAAAATTCCAATCCAAATTTTATTTTTTAGATCGTGTTCACATTCCCGTCCCGCTTCTCCAACCCACAGCGTGAAATCCAGAAAATCGAACATGAGCAAAAAGTCCCGCAGAAAATATCGCGATGAAACATCAGAAGAGTCGGATATTGAAGATCGACGATCTGTTTTTAGTCATTCTGATAATAGGAGCGAACGACGGTCTCTGGGACGATATTATGTCCGGGAGAGACCCTTAAGAGACACCGTTTCCATGCCCAAGGAAACCCTACGCAAAAATTCAAGTAGCAAAGCCAGCGACAGACTCGAACGTACCTCAGTAGGTAGAAGTAGAGTGAGCGTACAAGAATCATCCAGCGAAGAAAGCGACGATGAACAATCGGACAGTCCCAAAGATCCTCTGGAGCTCGACGAAGAAGATGAAGTTTCTGAGGTGGATACCGTTTCGCAACTGCCCACTTCATCATGGTCCTGTGAGCATTGTACTTTTGTAAACGAACCAGGAACGCGCGTGTGCCTCGTGTGCTGCAAAACGCCTACCAGCAAGGTCAAAATTGTAAAGAATCCTTCCCCTCAAAGCCCCGTTTCCAAAAAACCTCCAGTAGGTCGGACCATGGCCAGTCTTCAACCCAAACAAAAAGAGTCGAAAGATAAGGAACGGGTAGGGCAAAACGTGAGCTCAGATGATTACAGTCGAGATCACAGCGAGACCGAATCGGCCCAGAACAAACTGGAAAAGCTAAACGTCAGCAGCTCGGGGGAAGAGAAAAAAAGTCCAGAACCCAAACCAAAAGGTAGGACCATAAGAAAGATCAGTTTTTGGCCTGGGACTAAATTTAGCGCCTCCTTTTACAAAAACAAATAAGACAGTTCCTAAATATTGATGTTGTGTTGCTCTGTTAGTGTAGTGTTTTGTGACTAGTCGCTTTACTAATCCCGTTAGTGTGTGTATGTTCGTTTAGTGTGCTTTTAGTGTTTCTTCGCGATGATGCATAGATCCAAAATTGTTTATCTGGTTATAGGGGAGCTGGGAGCTGATATTACAGAAAATAATTCACTTTCTCGTGATAATCATGAAATAGAGGAAGTCGTCAAAAACAATTCAAAAACGTCTACAGCTTGCGGGACTCCTCCGTCTCCTAAAGAAATTTCAGAACAATTTCAAGATAACGTGCAGGAAAAAAAAATGAGTACTACTAGTACTGGAACTTCGCCGCCGCCTCAAAATATGTCAACACAGGTAAGTAATATAGATTTTACTAGCAATTAATTGCTAAAAAATCGCAAACAACTCGAAGCAGTTATAACATTTAGTGACTATCAGAACTAAACTTTAGAAAGATAGAATAAACAACGCGTCCGTAAAAGACTTAATCAGATTTTCTACTACCAAACCTTGATTCAAACACTTAGATCCTCATTTAGAGTAGTCCAAACGCAAGGACTTTTTGTACGATTTGCTTGTGTCAACAAAGCTTTGCAGATAAAATGTACAAACCAAATTGTGTCCATATACTACTACTGCCATTATTCGCTGACGAGTTGACGAGTATTTGACACATATTAGAAGATGGTTATGCAAGACGCTTTCTTTCATGAGCTTTTCTGTGACTGAAAAGCCCGATACGTGATGTTATCTCTCTTCCGCACTCTGGACTTTGTTGCCTCTTTACTTTTTGGTTGTCGTTGTTAACTGAGTTTACAATTCTTCTCTATTGCGTCCTATTGTGCGCTGCTTCCTCCTACTGATTCTGCATGCTTCTCCCCTTTAAGTTTTCATGGAAAATATCCTTGTACCTTTAGCGTTGTCCACCCGGTTTCCTCTTACCGTCTACAAGATTACCGTAAAGAAGAGATTTTGGTGGACGGTTTTCTCGCATCTTGCATACGTGACCGGTCCATCTTAAGCGCGATTTAGTAATCACGACTTCAGCGCTCTCGCAGCTAGCTGTTTCAAGGACTGATACGTTTGAGACAAGGTGGTACCATTTGATTATTAACAGTTGTCTAAGGTGTCTCTGTTGTAACTTGTTTCGTTTCCATACAAGATGGTGGGGATTATGATTGCTCGGTACACTGCAAGTTTTGTTTTTGTACTCAAGTCATGCTTTACTATATCTTCTTTATTTGAGATGACAATTAATGTATTTTTCTAGACATATGATGAACTGCCATTTGTCGAGACACCAAATTCCTTGTCAAAAAGTCCAAGATCACCAAGATCTAGATCTGTTAGCCGTGGAAGCAAGAAAAGGGAACTAAAAAGATCACATTCCCTGCACACGAATTCTTCGAAAAGAGAATCCGACTGGTCGTTACATAGATCATCCAGTCGTCAAAGCTTTACTACAGACTCCCAGGTTAATAATATTGGCAGAAATAAAATATTTTTATAACCTATGTTAATGTTCTAGAGCTTGCCAGGCAGCAGAGAACCCAGTCCTTTACCGTTCGACTACGAAGAAGCCTACTTCGATAATAAGCCCAATAATTACAGACAGCGGAAGTCCGGTAATCCGAAGATATATAGCAGCTTCATGGATTTAAGAAAGCCAGAAATGTACCACCGAAGACCTAGTCATCAAGACTACGGATATTACAGGGTGCCTATACAAGATTTTTGATATAGTTCATCAAAAATATCAACTCTTAACATAGTATTGAGTCAATTGAATTTAGAGATACAAGCATTTATGAATCTGTAAACGTTGATGTTGTAGTGGTAGTGATGATGTTGTTGGTAAATTGAACAAATATGCATGCTTGCATCAAAATTGAAGAACGTAAAATGAAAAAAAAAATAACAGTTTTATATAACACTAAATTGGCTTTACCTCAAATATACACCTTCTGCAACAGTACGTCGGGCATATATAGCTCCTATAATAATGAAAATGAACTTAGAAATTTCGGTTAAGTACAGTACAGTGTCTCAAAAACTATTTGTGGGCGAGGGTACATTTCTTTAAAGGGAACACGCTGTATATTATACCGGGTGCGTTTCGAAAGTGGCTACCTCTATAACTTTTTTTTTTCAGATAAAAAAAGAGGTTTGGTATGTTAGGATATATGACATAAATTAGGATTGATTAACGTATTCAATTGTTTTGGGTCACTTCCCGTTTCATCGGAAATGACTACAATTGTGGCAACGGCTTGGTATCCTCAGTATATTTCTACTTTATTCAATAGAAAATGACACAATCTCGTTTTATTATCTGAAAAAATAAAAGTTATAGAGGTGAACTACTATTGAGACGCGGTATTATTGCATTTTTGAATTTCTTCCTTTTTACTATACATCATTCTAGATTATTATTAAACTTGTTTTGTTCAAAATATAGAGTAATATTTCTTAAAATAGAACCCTGTATATTATTTTTCTTTTAGGTACAGAATTTAAATTTATATATTTTGTATTTAAAATGTTTCGAAAAATATAACGGTTTCGCAGATATTCACAGTTATACATGCCCAAAGCACTGTTCTAGGACTAGGCTTTTATTGATCTGAAAATTTTCAAAATTCAAAATTGTTCGTTTGAATCTACTTCGATTTATAATTTTATATAAAAATAATTTTGTATATTCAGCAGGTGGATGGTTTGGAGCCTCTAAGTCACCATCACAGAAGCGAATCACTGCGTCCAGACTACTTTGACAACAGTTTTGAACGAAGAGATTCGTATAAAAACCAGGGCATGGAACTAGTAAAGTTACTGAGAGTAAGTGATAAAACATCTTCTGAAGCACCAAAAAAAAACTGACAATTCTTTGCATTTCAGGAAGCTGAGCAATTCAAGTTCACAGCTGATGAAGTTCAGGCAGCTTTGCTTCATTGCAAAGTAGGTATACTAAATTTATTATATGTCTTCTAATATAATTGAAATGTCACTTGTTCGCAGGATATGAACCCAATAGATTGGTTAAAGGAACACTGGGATGCAACTATCGCTAGCGTTCAAACCCTGGCTACCCAAATGGGTAGAGAAGGACCAATGAATATTGTTGGCACCGTGTCAGAGAAAGAAGCTAGAGACGCTCTTAGACTTCATAAGGGTGACCTATGGCCAGCCGTTCAAGAATGTGTCGATCAAAGACAAAGAAAAGTGAGTATTATTACAGAGTACCAGAGTAGAGACGGATAAACAAGTTATTTCTAAATAACAAATTGTGATTCTTCTTTAAAAATACTAGCTTAAAATAACAGGTTTTTGATATACATATATTGATTTTACCTAAAAAAATTAATACATGTCAGAAAATATTAATAACAATTAACAATAGTTTTTAGTTCATACTGTATCGTAACACATACCTCTATATACTTCATTTCAGTCTGGAAAATAAAGTTTTAAAATAATATATTGCCTGATAAAATAACCACGATTCTGACTTCACATCGTATGCTATCGATACTAGCGCTAAAATACTAAACGACTGTTATCTTTAAAGAACTGTTGCGAATATGTTATTGTTTCATATCTGTTATTTTTAAGCGCACTGTTATTTCCGCAACTGTTACTTTCTAAAAAGCAAAAAAAAAACGATGCAAACTGTTATTTTCGTAACTGTTATTTTTTATAAAGGCAACAAACGATGCAAACTGTTACTTATAAATAACCAGTTGTAAAATAAGAGATCCTTAAATAATAACCTTTCTAGTAAGTATCTAAATATTCTATTTATTTTAAAGTACGCAGAACTGGCTAGCCGTGGCGACTATTCTAGAGAGGATATCGTGACGGTACTTACAACAAATCATGGTGATTTAGAGGCTGCATACAGCGAACTAAATAGGACTCAAATAAAACCATTCCTAATGAGGATTTGGGGACCGCCTACCGGTGTGGAAAACGAGGCAGGTAACGAGGGGGCTACGCTGCAAAGGTTCAGGGGGGAAGGTAAGTAATATTTCAATGTCCTTCTACTGCCCAAAAACGAATAAATATTTTATATTTTAACTCCTCAGATGTGTTAAGTGACGAGGAAAAACAATTGAAAATAGAAGCAGAAGCGGTAAGTGACGCATCAATTAAATCTAGCAATAACTCGGAAAAGTCTTCCCCTCGAAACGTGCATCACACCACCTCGTCCCCCCAGGATTTAAAAAAAGCCCGACAAACCAATAACCGTTTAGATGACGTAGAAGATTTAAGTAGAAGTAGAAATAGCAACCTTGACGATTTAGATGCTTTAGAAACGGAGATTTTAAAAAAAATTCAAGATATTAACAACCTAAACGATGAACTAAACGCTAAAGAACCGCTAACCCTAAACCGATCGCCGACGAACACTAATCAAGCTAAACCTTTGCAAAACTCTTCGAATATAACGAAATCAAACCTTGAAAATGTAACCGCCCTTAAAGATGATCCGGTGACTCCGGTAATAGTAGAGCCTCAAACACCCCAAACTCCAAAAATATACGTTGAGAAAAGTAGCACCGTCATTCAAGTAGTGGATTCAGTAAATTTTGATTTTGGAAACATACAGAAAAATGAAGGTCCCGAATCTAGTTCTTCTAGTTCTAACGAAGAAAACTTAGGAGATGAACAGTTTGCAGATGCCATAGAAGATCTTAACAACGAGCTAATAAATTTGAACAATAATAAAAATAATGCAAATGAAGATAAAACATCAAACAAAGATGAACGCGAAGAAAAAGGAATCTCTCCTAAAAATATCTCTCAACCTTCAACATCTCAGAAGAAGCCTGATAGAAAAATTAGTGTTAGTACACTGAATATTCAGATAGTTGGATCAAATAAAAATAAAGGTGATTCACTTTCAAAAGCCATCCAAATAGAAGACGAAGATAGACAACCAACTACTCAGGATAAAGACGAGGTAAAAGAAAGCACTGCTCAAATTGTTTTGATGACAAGTAAAAAAGAAACTGAGAATGATAACAAACAAGTTGAATCAAATAGTCCTTTAGATATAGGACATAAAATAGACAATAGTAAGTCTGAACCAACAATTAAGAATAATAATGAATCCAGTATCAGTCAAAAAAATAATATTGATAACAGTATTGAAGAAAACAAACAAGAAGTGATTATTCAAGAATCAGAAGGACAGGATATAAGTATCACAACTGAAAATGATAAAATAAATATTCTAGAAGAAGTTAATGAAGATTGTATTATTAAAGAAAGTAATGAAACTAGTCAAACAACTCTTGAGAATCAAGAAAATATTAGTAAGATCTCGAATCCCAATAAAAACCAATGTGAAGTGGATCAAAATCAAAATTTTATTATAATAAGTGACACTCAACAAATAACACCAGCCCAAGTCGATTTAGAATATCGGAATAATGTACAAAAAATAACTCAGGAGAGTGAAGATTCAGATAAACAAAATATTGATATTATTAAAGAAATTTCATCTGAAGAGACATCAGTTTTAAATCACAAGGCATCTGTACAAGTAGATCTGCAAAAAACTGTTGAAATGGGAGATAGTCAAAGTGGAATGAGCAATTCAAACATAACAAAAGATGAAACTATCCTAAACCAACAAATACCAGAAAATTTTGAAGATAAAAAGCTTAAACCGTCTCCAAAAAATGAGAAAGTATCTGAAAAAAGAAATGTGGATAAGGATAAATTGCCAACTCCTATAAAAGATGTGGTAATCCAAGAAATTGATGCGATTGCATTGGAAAATACTATAACAGATTGTAGACAACCAGAGGCTAAGTTTGAACCAACACAAATTACTTCTGTATTAGATGAAAATGTAAATGTGACACAGACAAGTGATCAAATTAATTCTATTGAAAATATCAAAGAAAATGATAACAAAATAGTTGAAAAAAATAATGATTCTAAAGGGGAATCAAAAGAAAATATGCCTCCAACAGGATTAAAGTCCAAATCCTCTACTAAAAGACGCAGGAAATCAAGAAAGAAGTTCCAACAAAAAGATAAGAAAAGTAATTTGAAGAAACAAGACTCCACAAGTACTACTGAATCTAGCAGTGATGCACCTGAAAAAGAGCATTCAAAAAATGATAATCAAACGAACGAGGAAACGCAAAGCGATTTAGAGTCGTCAAAAGGTGCCTTAGCTGGCCATAAACTTGGCAGAAAAAAGCCTTTGAAAAAGAACGATAGTCAGAAATATACCAAATATAAGAATATGCCAATTAGACAAGTTCCTGATTCGCCAATCGATGAAAACCCTGAAATTGTATTTGAAGGTGATAAGAATAAGGATAAAAACAATATAATTTCCACAAATGTAACGAAAAAAAATCAAATAACAAAAACCGATACAGAAATTGGGTTGTTGACACCTAAAGAAAAAGATAGTAATTTTTCCAATGACACAGATAACGTTTTAAATACTAAACAAAAAGAGATTAAACCAATTATCTCAACTAAGATTCAAATGGCTCAAAACAACCAGACTACAATAACGCCTGGTAAAAATAGACCTTCAAAAATTCCGGTAATATCAAGACAAAATTCGATTTCAAAAGAGCCTAAATCGCCTACTAACACAAGCGGAAGTAAGATTCCAATCAAAATGCCAAGTCCTCCAAAAAGACTGAAGAAAAAAGAAACCACATCTGAAGAACATCGAAGTAAATCTGATGAGGAAACCAAACAACAGATTCCACTTGAAGAAAGTACTGGGAGAAATAACAGTTATTCTGCTTTCAATAAAACAGATTCTTCTAAATATTTTATTAAACAATCCCGAAGTCTATCTCCAAAATTAGTTGGAACTGAGAAACCAAGTACTTCAAAACCTTTCGATCAAAGGAGAAGTCTCTCAAGAAAATCTTCAATTAAGTCAAACAAAAGTGACGATATTCGAAATCCTTTAAATAGAAAAATCGCTCATAACTCTTTTAAGAGTTCTTTCGACTCTACAACAAGTTCTAAAAAAATGTCGTACACAAAAAGTCTCGATTACGACAGCGAAAGCTCTGTATCTGACAGCAATGTTGAGGAACTCCTAGATCCTAGTACCGATGAAGATATTGATGATTTCGAAGACGATTTTGAGAATATAGATGAAGAAGAACTGCATAGTAATTCGGAGGAGTACAGAAACTTTGACGAGCAAAAAACGAAAGTAGCTCAAGAACTCAACATAGATCTAACTCAAATTAGCGACAGAGTCAATCAATTGACTTTGAATCTTGATAATAAGGCTCAGAACTTTCAATCTATCGAAGAGACATGCGAATCGGAAGAATATGAGTCCGAGGAAGAAATAGAAGTTGACGAAACTGAAAGCAGCATTGAAGAACGAGATGGAAGTTATATAGATGATGAGTTGGGCAATGACGGTTCTGAGGGGAATGAGTTTAAAGTGGAGAAAAAAGAGCCCACTGAAATTGAAGTTATGGAGGTAAGAATGATGCTTTGGAATTTAGTTTGGCGTTTCGTCATACATAAATGTTCATTATATCATGCAAAGTGGAACAGTTTCTTAGTTTTTCATTATCAACAAATGACTTTTTATCTTTTTATACAGGGTGTTTCTTAATGACATGCTAATATTTAAGGAGTTTTGTTGTTTTGCTACCATAAAACTAGAAAATAATGAAGTTAATTTGGAAATTGAAAATAACCTTTAAAATTAACTGTAATTAGTACTAGTCCTACCTTTTGGGAAGTAGTTTTAAGGGAAAAATTTGTAACAACGTGCTCGCCCAGCTTTGGCCGAAAAAATAGCCGAAAATGAGTTTTTCGCAGTTGCAATTTATAAAAATTTTTCTTGGAACAAAAAATGAAAGCTAGGAAATTACCTACAAAAATGGTCTTGGTCATTTTTTACATAGAGATAGCAGTTTTCGAGATATTCGTCTCGAAGATCCCTGAATTTTCTCTCCAAGTCTTAACCCTCCGAAGATAGATTTCATAATCGTATTCTTCATGTTCATAAGCAATTCTAGTTGGGATGGAACTCCGGATTGGTTGCTTGTTGGCCTTTTTGTATTATTACCTAATAAAGTAATCTATAAAGTAATATTTGGTTTAAATGTAATACCTCTTCTTTCATAAAAATCTATTAGTGAAAACTATCCTTAACATTAAAAAAAAATACAGATAATGAAGATCTAATAATACTGTTTCAATATACAAAAGTTCACGTTATCAATAATAGTGTTAAAGTAGTGTTCCTTAAGTAATTGATATTTCCTTGATGTCGTCCTTTAACTTTAGAGACAGGCAAGAAGATTTTTAGCAGAAGGACAAGTCCAGAACTACCAGCAAGCGGAGTTAGCAGTCAGTTTGATGTCTCTAAAATTCTCCGCTGAAGAAGCTTTGGAGGCGGCTCGTGACTGCAATACTCTAGACACTGCCATATCTTTTTTACAGCAGGACTGTGAACTGTGCGCCGGGAAATATCCTGTAAATAATGTAGGAAAATTCATAGATATATCTTTAAAAATACTGAAATGTGGCGTTTGCTTTTAGATTGTATCTATGTTGAAGTGTACCCATCGTTGCTGTCAAGATTGTGCGAAAAACTACTTTACTGTACAAATTACAGACAGAAGTATTATGGATTGTAACTGTCCGTTTTGTAAGGCTCCAGAACTAAGGTAGCGTCCATTTTGTAGTAAATTCGCTTTTTTATAAAACATGTCTTTCTTTAGTTATAACAGTTCTGCGTCAGAAGATGATATCTCCGATTATTTTGCGCATCTGGACATTTTACTAAAAGGAATCTTGGATCCCCCAGTGCACGAATTATTTCAGCAAAAATTGCGAGATAGAACACTAATGCAAGATCCCAATTTTAAATGGTGCGCGCAGGTGATTTGCACAAACTCAAAATGACAGAAAAAATCTAATTTATATATTGATTTTTGTAGTGTTCCTCTGGATTTATAGCTCATCCAAAACAAAAAAGACTGCTCTGTCCAGATTGCAAATCAGTTACTTGTGCGAGCTGTAGGAGACCAGTGAGTATCAAATTAATTTAATATATAAGTATTTATATTAAAAACAAAATATAAATGTAAATATACAAATTTATAGTGGGAAAAGCAGCATGAGGGCATCACTTGCGAAAAGTTTGCTGAATGGAAAGACGCGAATGATCCTGAAAATCAAGCTACAGCTGTTGCTAAGCATCTGGCTGAAAATGGTATTGATTGTCCAAAATGCAAGTTCAGGTACTTAATAAATAATTTATTAACTACAACAAAATGTAGGTAACACTGACCACAAAAAATCTGCATCAATTTTTCACAGACAGTGTATTTATTTATTTTTAAATAAAGTACTTCAGAGAAACTAACTGCTATTTAATTTAGGTATTCTTTGGCAAAAGGAGGTTGTATGCATTTTACATGTATTCAATGCAAACATGAATTTTGTTATGGCTGTGGCAAACCATTTATGATGGGTGCAAAATGTGGAATGAGCCAGTATTGTGCCAAATTGGGACTACACGCGCACCATCCTAGAAACTGTCTATTCTATCTAAGAGATAAAGAACCACATGATTTACAGAAACTTTTGAAGGCATGTTTAGGAATTCCTTTCTCATATTACATGTTTATAAGAACAGATTATTTTAGGATAACAAAATAACATTTGATACAGTCCTCCCGTCAGAAAAAGAAGATAATGCTAGTGCAGTACTAAAATGTCCAGTACCATTGCAGAAAGAAGCTCCAACAGGCCTAATAGATACAGTTTGTAATAACGACGTATTACAGGGTCAAGCAGGGTTGTGCAGGTAAGTGTAATAGAAAATTTAAATTAACTGAACAAAATTAAATATATTACCATTTTCATCAACAATTTTAGTATTCTTTTTTAAAGTTATTTTTACAGGGTACTGCAACAGTGCGTCGGATATCTCGAGGCCCTATAATAAAGAATTTAGACATTTCGTTTTATAGGTGTTTCGTTTTTCGTTGTACTAGGACATAGTTCAAGTAAATATGTTCATTTGTATAGGTTGTTTTAAAAGTGTCACTGGTACCCTAAATCTGGTTCTTAAAATATCTTAAAAATGTTATTTTTTTAAAGTTTGATGCTCTCTAGCGGACAAACGAAGCACTTTTATAAACGGCAAATGGTGTCAATGAACTTATTTTGATTCCAAAAATACGCAGTAGTTCTATGTCTACGGAATATATTGAGGCACCCTGTATATCAGCAAAACCACTAAAAGTTTCGAAACACTTTAAATACAAAAAACGTTTCTTTTTTAATTCTGCAATGTAAAAGAAAAGTTATGTACAGAATTAAAAAAAAATAATATATTTTAAAAATGTTGGCATTAAATTTTAAACACCCTGTACAATTTAAGAGTACAATGCTGTATAATAACCTAGGATTGAGTCAAGTGGCCAAAAACCAATAATATACAGGGGCATTCCATCTAAAAAAAATCACCTTTGCCCACTCACTTTTAGACACCTTTTACAAATGGATATATTTTCTTGAAGTACACAACAGAACACAGTTTATGGCTGCACTTAAACAAAATCCATAGTTCTTTATTATAGAATCTATAGAAGATACCGTGGCACAGAATCCTGTATAAATATATTTTTTAATATCGCGACTACAAACTTTTATCCATGTTAGAACATCTCAAATTTTTACAGAATGCATTACATAGAATATTTATGTTTTCTTATAAGAAGAAACAAAATCGAAACATTAGAAATTCTGCAGGAGGATGACTTAGAAACACTTGTTAGACGCGCCTCTAAAAAATTGCCCCCAAACGCGTATGGCACCCCTAAGAGAATGTACAAGTTTAGACTTAAGCAGGTATTTAAGTGGCGTGGTTTAAAGGCTAGAATAATTCTTTTTTGTGCGTGTTGTCATTTTTGTTTGTTATTTGTAATTAACTTTTGCCTGGATAGACAAAATAATACCTTTCGATACCCTTTAAACCACACCATTAACTTCCAACATTCTAACTAACCATTTCCTTTTTGTTTGTGTGTGATAGGCAACACTATGTGGAATACTTAGTGGGCCTCATTGGAAAACACAAGTTGGATCCAATCTTAATTCTGGATTTGAATGAAGTGTATCAGGAGTTCAGAAGAAGAGGAAAAGAATTGCCGGAAAGAGGACCTTGGTGTGATGACAAACAATATTGGGATATGTGTGTTAAGGTATGTCAAAGAGAGACATATTAATATACGGGTTTAATAACAATGCCCACTAAGTATTTTTTCATGTAGTGTTGTTTTATAATATTTTGTTTTGTAACTTTTCATATTAAAAATTAATTAGATCATCTATACAAATAGGTAATTTACATTTTTAGATTGTTATGGAACAAATACCTTTGGAATGAAACAAATATATGCCTCAGATTGAGAAAGAAGCAGCATATCTATGTACTGATGGACAAGATTCCTATGTATTGATTAGGAAATGATAGAAAGTTATGAAGTACCTAAAAGAGTACAGAGGAGTGCAATATTTAATAACTACCAGCAATATTTAAAATATAAAATGTTTGTATTATTTAACTAATATCCTTCCAATTTTCATAGTTAAAATAAAGTAAAAACTTTCCCTGAATTTTCTCTTATTTATTAAGGCTTTGTAAAAAGATGTTAAGTTTTGGAGGTCCCTTTTTGCTCTGGCCAGCATCCTTTAACATTTCACTCAAGGCTGCTAATCTCTTTTTCTTCACTTCTACCTCAGCTTTAGATAATGGCACAGGTTTTACTTTTTTGATAATTTTTCCCTCCTTCTTCGATAATTTCATTCGTTTCTTTTTTGATGTTGTTTCAGGCACAATATCTGATGTTGCAAAAATCCTCAAAGGATTACTATCAACCATACTATTTCTATCTGAAGAATGGGTTGGTTCATTTTCCTCTTCAAGCGCTCTATTGGGATCCTCATTATTCTTTGGAGCTTCCACATAAACTTTGGAACTTTCACGGTCATTTTTTAATTTAAGTGAAGCTAGTTCAAGTTGATCCCTTCTTTTTTTCTTTTTCTGTTTCTTTTTTTTCTTCTGACCAACTAGATTTTCGAGTGTATTTGTAAACACAAATGTATTTACTATTTTCGGTTTCTTCATCCAAAGTGTTGACTTTTTCTCACAGTGACCACAAACCTTTACCTAAAAGTAAACATTTATCTTTTACTCTCTAGTGGCCTTATACTACAAACCAATTTATTGTGATTGTCAAAACCATTTGGAAATTGTGAACACAACTTTTTGTAATACAAATTTTGGTACTTTGTCAGTACTTTGTTACTGTTTACTTTCGCAATAACTTTTTTTGCAAATCTCCCGATTTTAATGGGCTGTATTTCATACTTTGTGTTATATTTATGTGGTTCTAAAAAGCATCGTTCGCACCTTTCTAAGCTTTTAGCATTATGTACAACAATATGTCTTCGAAGTTCCATTAGCTTACATTTGGTTCTAGAGTAATAAACAGACTAATTAATATAAAGTTATAACTTATGCAAATTATATTTTACCTATATAACGATTTTAGAGCGTCGACGTCAAGATTGCCGTTTTCTGTTAAATTGTATAAATATTTAATAGAACTTTTGAAAATTGCTGTATCTTGGTCGTTAACATTTTCGATAACATCGTCATTTCCTTGGATCATGTTGAATTATGAAAAGAAAAAGAAATTCTTCGAAAATTTTAACACATCAACACAAATATCAACGAAGAAAGCGAAACTTAACCAAACTCTTTTAATTCATTTGGCTTAAACAAAAAACAAATCTTGGCTTTAACCGCCGAAGCCATCCAACTTAATATATTAAGAACATGGTTTATGAAAATGAAATCTCCATCACATATCTTTTTAGGAATTTTTATATGATTCGAATTATATATGATTTGGCGTTAGAAAAAAATACTACCCTAAGAATCCAAATTATACGCAATAGAGTACCTAAGAAACCTCAGATAGTAAATTAGGCCTACTACAAATAAAAATATAATCCTTGAACCCCTTGTTCTATGTATTTAATATAAATAAGGGATATATACTTTAATTTATTTTATAATTATATATGAAATGGTTCATTTTTGGGTATACTATAGGGCTATAGGGTATACTGATTCCCGTTCATTTCATATAAAAATTGGGGAGATGGGTTTTGTGAGCAAATTATCGATTTAAGTTTTGTATATTATGACGTAGAATCAGACCACAATTTCCACCAATTGGAATATTGCTTTTTTAGTGGAAGGTTGGTAAACATTGAACGTCTGGCTTATGAAAAAACACTCCGGACGAAAAGTAACAAACGTTACCACCTTGCGTTACCACCTGATTTTTCAATTGTAAATAAAGGTAAGCACATAGTAGTCCGAGCGAACTGATTTTTTTTATAATATCAAAGTTGTCAGTTTTAAACAACACGTCAAGTTGAAAGTGTATTGCTAATTTATAAATAACTGTTTCTATTCGCAAATTTGAGTTAAACCAATTTTGATCGCGAGTGATTTGATATTAATTAATTAGAAAATACGAACTATCGTCTAAAAAGAGATATTCTGTTATATTCTGGTGAGTTCAAGTTAATTCATTATAAACCTTTTTTGCATTAAAATAGATGTTGTCTCACAATGACCTAAAATAATTTATTTAGTTTAAAGTTTTCCGAATTTTGTTAAACTGTTCGTTTTTTTGGTGCTATGGGTAAGAATAATAATGTTTCCTTTTGTTGTCTTTTTTAAATTAAAGAGGTTTATATGGGTTTATACTTTATAGGTTATGTTTTATATAATTTAATTTACTACGCATGTTGATTTTGTTTACAAGTTCTTTAACTTTTTAAATTCTATTTTTTTGTATCTTGCTTTTGAATTTAATTTTGTAGCTTATGTAACCAGTATATGCGATCCTAATATTACTGAACTGATAATTTTAGATATAAATTAAAAGCCCCTATTTAATTTCAATGTATTTAGTATTTTCTAAAAATATAATGTGATGCCTGAAACCTGAACGCACATAAAACTATACCATACTTTAATGTTAATGCATCTATTACTTTTATGTGCATTTCTTGGCAGATATAGACGATTTTTGTGTTAAATGCTTTAGCTAATTTAAGTATTTTTTAGTTTAAAATTAGTGACTAATAATAACTCTTTAAATGTAGATATATACGTTTTCTCCTCATGTTGTTGACCCTGGAGTATCACATTTTATTAGCTAACAGCCTACATTTTATTCAAAAATTAAGTAAATGGTCAAAGTTTTTTTTCGCCAAATTAGTTTGATGATACACGACACTGGGTCGGGACCTAATTTTGTAATAAGTTATGACAAAATTAGTAAAATATGTATTTAGACACGCGTCTCTGTTTTTTAATTCTTTAATATTTTTTAATACCCATGTACTTATATCTTTCTATTTACTTTTGTTAACTTTGCTATACTTTATTACTTTGTTCTTTTATAATAAAATTATACCTAAATACTGCAAGAAATATTTTTCCATTTTATTCTTTTATTTATATCTTTTTTAATTACGTATAATAATTTTATTAAAATTAAATTTTAGACTTCTTATGAAGAGTATACCTACATATCCATTTATTAAAGAATGAAATCGAAATTATATTCCCACAGAAAGGCTTTTTGATTTTTAGGACTTTCAAAAAAATTCAACCATATTTTCATGTTTTTTTTTTAATTTTCTCTAAAACGGTATGGGAATAACCATTTTAGAACAAGCAAATTTTTTTTATGAAGAATGCATTTTCCTCAAAATGCCTTTTCCTCAATAAAAGTCTTTGTTCTTGTAAAGATAATCCGGGGACAGGGGACATACTGTATATTACTCGAAACGTTGACAAAATACAAAAATAAGTACTCCGAAGACTTTTACTGGCCTATAACCAACCAAACAACTATATCAAATTGCGAAATTGGGGTCACAAAAAACAAAAATACGAGAATACATATATTTAGTTGAGTGCCTCTATTTGTTTTTTAATATCGTATTTTGTAAAATTGGATTTTCAATGTCAATTGCCTTCAATTTTGACCTTCCAAAGTCCAGAACATTAGTTTTAAAATTGAATTAATTTTTTCCTTAAATGTGTATGTATTTACAAGGATACTAATGTATTCAAATGCAGTTTGTTGATTTTTTAAATGTAGAATTTATTATTTCAAAGATCTGTGTTGGAGTTTACTTGTATGCCCTTTATATGGATTTTGTCTGTTAAGACATATGTTTATAGTAGGGTGTCCAATTGTATTATTAAAGAGACACATCCGTTTATAAAATTCGAGACTAGATACAAATACAATTATGGAATTAAATTAGTTAATATAGGGGTGTATTCTACAAGACATTTACCGTATGATAAAAAAAACGGCGTCAAAGACGGCTGGGGAATGACAATCGATAATAATTTTGGCGAGGTCAAGCCCTAGATATCATTTACTAAAAATTGATATAAAACTTCCAAAAATTAACACTAAATGTATGAAGATTAAAAAAGAATAGAACGTTTCCCGACACAAATTTATTTCCAAAAAATTATTTTTTCTCCTATTTTAAACTACATCATTGAAAAATAAAGAAGAATACGGGTTAAGCAAATGACGTCTAGAGCTGGACCTTGTCAAAATTATCATCAATTGTCATCCCCAGCCGTCTTTGACGCCGTTTTTTTTCGGTCATATGGTATTATTTGGTATTATGTCGTCTGATGTTAAGACAGCGACGCGACGCGACACCTCCAGATATATTTATTCTACTTTTTTATGTTAAAAAATAATTAAATTTATTAATTATTGTAATGATAACTGATGAGCCGTAAACTCATAGTCCACGATTATCTAAAAATAGATAAGATGCTTTCTATCTTGTTACTAATGAATACGAGTGTGAGATGATTATGAGGTAGATAAGTAGCGTCTTCATACGGTGTTGGTACATTTTGGAGGTAGCTAAACGTTTATTGAAACTACTTTTGTTCTTAAGTTTTTTTTTAATTTTGAATTAGTGAACCTAATCCTCAATCATATTCATTGTAAGTAATGTTTTTATTAATTTTATTTTCTTAGATTTATTTGCTAGTTTTTGTTATAAATATTATTTTTCTCAGGCACTCATGGCATAAACATAATTTATTTTTTTTGGTGGTTTATTTAAATTTTGATTAAGATAATTCTTAAAAATCCTAATATGATATTTTAACTTTTTAGTATAGGTTGCAATAATTGTGTTTTTCTTAGGGATTTCTGAGTGTGGTTTAAGTTATTTATTTTAAATGTAACACTCCCCCCTTGCTCCCTGGCGTGCCTTTCTAGTTTAAATTTGGATATTTTCGATAAAATAGCTTTGTTTAATTGTTTTTTAATCCATTATATAAATTATTAGCCTCTGTATGTCGCCTAGACAATGACATATTACTGAATGAGATAAAAATTTTACCTATATTTTTTGTGTATCCTGCGAGCTTCTCAGCGTCTGTACTAAGCGTGGTAAACAATTATCTACAACTCCGATAAAGAAGTGAAATATTTCTAACCTTTAGCTTTCAGCCATCAAGATATTCGTGATGGATTGGATTGATTAGTCTCGCTCACATTTCGTTTAGATAAAGTTGTTTCAAGTGAGAAAGTTTTCAGATGCACACACCAAATTTATTAAAAAATGATATAGCTTAAATAATTATTAATTGTTTAAATCAATTCCACGTTCTAATTTCTATTGTTACTTGTGTTTTCATTATTAAGGGAATAAATTAATTTTGGTTAAAATTTAAGTGTATTTGTATCGTATTGATAAAATTTAAATCTATTGTAATCTTTCATAAATATCTAATATATAAAGAGATAATAAGATTATACGTATATATATAAAAACTAGATGGCGTTGTAATTAAGTTAAAAAAAAACTTGTAGAGAACATACCGTATGATCGAATGAAAACGGCGTCAGCGATGGCTATGAAATGAAGATCCCTGTAATTTTACATGTAAAATTATATGAGGAATGTCATCGATCGCCATTTCCAAGCCAAGGCCATTTTTCTGCTGTTCAAAAATTTAAGATTTCAGATTTCTGAAATATAATAAGTATTTCCTTCAGCCACACACCCGCTTTACCCGACCCCTGAGAGCGACCCGAACAGTTCAGCGTAATAGACTCTTAAATTGCTCTTAAAGTAATGTTTAAAATTTAAAAAGGTAGATTAACATCATGGTAATTGTTAAATAAATGTATTTAAATTATTGAACTAAATAACTAATGATTCTGTTATCTAATCGAGTTATAGGTAATACTTGTATGAAATACTAGATGGCGTCATCTATTTTTTTTTTCTAATTAAACCGGAATATCTGGTAGAAAATACGGTATCAATATTTTTTGTTAATAATTGTTTTTAATGAGAATTTCCTTACAATAATTTACGGGTTTCCTGCGTAATTTGTCGGAATAATTTGTAATCACTAACCAAAAAAAAATCCTAAACCTTTGGCCACGAGCTATTATCACTATACGGAGGGAACAAAGTGCAAAGGCACTGGCTACTTGACATGTAATCATTATAAATATCTGAAATATCTTGATTACGGTTCGTACATTTTTATTCGATAGACACATATTTTATTTTAAACTTTTAGATCTCTAAATTGGGGTTGAAGTACTCCTAATCGCGCTTTTGTTTAATTTTTTATCTACCATTGTTGAAATGGAACACT